CAAAATAAGTTCTATCAACATTTTTTTTATGAGAAATCAATAAAAATGAATGAACTTCAATTTTCATACCGAATCTGCATAAATCCAGCTTTCAAGTTACAAACAATCAGGCCAAGTCAGTATAATAATTTATGTTAATGAACGTTAATATGATGTGTCTATTCCATATATGATATTTGAACAGCAGCTTTCCTGTGTCCCATAATTTAATATTTTGTTCGAAAGTAATTTTTCGGTCAAATCCGTTAACAGATCAAGTAATCACTTGCTAGTTGATCCTTTTAGGAGGCAAAGTTGGTTTTCGGGTATCAGAAATACATTTTCTTTACATATTACTTGGTTATTTGCATATAAAAAATCGAAATTTAAAATGTTGAATCCAGGCTTTTTAGAAATTTTCAAGGATAGTAAAAAAAGTTATAATTTATTAAACGAATTTCCTAAACTACAGTTTTATCCTCAACTAATGTTACAAAATTTAGTGACTTTTTTTAGATAGACAAATCCAAGCTTTCTGTTGTTTTTTTCTATTCAACAGTTTGGAGTCATTTACACTTATGAATTTTTTTCGGATGTTAAAATATCGGCTTTCATTGGTTGAAGTCGACATCCAACTAGTAGTTCAAACAATCACTAGAGGTTTCGACTTGGAGGAGATATCGACTTGAACCGAGTACACATTTGTTGCTTAAAAAATATCGGCGATCATCTCGATCCTACTACCAAAAATGTATCATGTTTAAATGTCTCCAGACTATTACAGCTAGCACCCTTTCGGAACGACAAGCTAAGCAATAGGAAAGAAAGAAAAAAATCCCCAAACGCAAACATTTTTTGTAGTAGGTTAAGAATCTATGAAAAAATTTAGTTTTTCTTTACACTTTGTTCTTCGAAAACTATTTTGATTTCGCACTAAAACTACATGTACATGGAAATAATCACCACGATATCCATCCAACGGCAAAAAGCCGTTACTAGTTTAAATAAAAATTGTACAAAGTATATACATACACACGTACTTAGACTCCTGTTATCTATTGACATTTCCCTTACAAATTTTTGTCGCATTTGAACAAATATTTACCAAAACAGATATAAACGGCACAAGAAAGGAAGTTATGGTTGAACTGATTTGTAAGACCAAGTTTCCATTTGTTTGAGTAAACAGTTTGTAAATTACCGTTGTTAGTTTATTTACTGATAAGAGCGATTATTCGAAGTACAAAAAACGACTAAATGGGCAGATGTACGATATAAATAGCTTTATCACTTGGATTTGCGAATTGTCGCGATTCAGAACCAACACTATCCAGGCCAGAGTAAGTGAAACATTCTATGAAAATGTGCAGTAACATTGAAATTTGCAGTCCAAATGTATGTAACATTATTCGAAATAAGAAACTTGGGTAACATTGTTAAATACTTCAATGTGGGTTTTTTTGCTTGTTCTAAAATCTAAATTATGTTCAATAATGGGATCCGCCCATTTTCTTTCGTCTATTTTCTATATAAAATGCTGTACACAATAAAAATTGTCGATTTTTAGGAATGCAGGTGGTATCTACATAACAATAAAGCACAAATCAGTCAAATCAAATATGTAATTTGGCAAATCGGTTCTAATAAAGGAGTAGGTAGGTGTCCATAATTCCTGTTTTCTCAGCAAATACTTACGATTACAATACCACTTTAATAAAAATGATTACTTTAAATTACACTGCGTTCACTTTTGCAATAGATATTTAAAACAGAGATCGCTTTGTATAGATAAGCTGAGTGGCAAATGATATGTGAAAATGTAAACACCTAAAATGAAATGTTACTTGATGCAATCAACTGGTCATCAGTTAATATGTGTATTATGATAAAAGACACTCGGATAGAAAGATGTCTAAATTAAAACAAAAAAATCCTTGTTCTAAATTCTCAATCATATTCATGGTGTTGTTTCGATTTGACTCGTAGATATTCCTTGGTTAAACATCCTGAAAGCTGAATTTTTAGGAAAACTAAGAGGACATCTCAAAGGTACATTCAAATAAGACCGAAAATGTTGCAAAATGTAAGGGATGCGCCTACTACAGAATCAGGTGCTGCCAGCAGCTTAAAACGTGTGCGCCTTTGAGATGTCCTTACAAAATGGAATTAATCGGTGAAAGATCTGGAGATCTTGGTGTCTACTTAATACAACCTCGCTTTCGGCCTTCCTCGCTTTGCCTTAGGAATAAATTACACTTAATTGGCATTATTTCGTGCTAAGAAAAATGCAAATATCTTGCCCTATGTTGAGTGTCATCTTAGAAAAAAGGTGCCCCTATTCTATTGCTTACATACTACTTTTCTACGACGATAAGGACTTTAGGACGATACGTATGAAATTCTATTCAAACTAATAACGACACTTTTGGCTATTTATTTGTTGATTTAAGATAAAAGCAAACTCGTGTAAGAAAAGTATGTACTCTAAATTTCAATAAACAGATTTATAAGTCATCAATTAATCGTCAATTTTCAAGCATCCATCTGGATCATCTTTACCTCCCGACCCAACAATATTCAACAGTTTACGCTTCATATGGACGTTTCATGTCATRGTTTAAACTGTTTTATKATTAAGATTACTATCACAAGTCAGTAGATTGGATGGAGTCTCTGGATTTTCTTYGAAAGCAAGCAACMAATCCAACTTCATGTCATCATCATCATCATCATCAACAGATTGCCTTTCKTTCGAGACTTTTCTGASCAATTTCTCGAAATTGTGTCGCCCTAAAGGATCAAACTTTCAMTTTTTAGCGCAATAAGACTCTTTTACCATTTGTGTTTTGTGYAATTGCTGCGTTGAAAGTAAATKAAACTTTAAAATTAYCGTTTTTATTGCATGAAACCCGCAAAKGWAGCAAAARCAAAAAWTKTATAWTAAGTACAATGGATTTATTTCTYAGYTACCCSAATATCTTGCTTGTMAAATGCAGCTAACATTTTTATTCTGTYTSATGATCAATCGAAATAAARYACATAATTAGTTTATTATAATTTTCSTAATTTTAATGTGTGAATGAGACTAACATTGCCAASTRAAGTGTTCTAAAATTATAATGCAGAATATGYCAGTTTAWTCAATTGTTGCAAAATTATTWTAGTCAGCAATCATTGCTTYCAAGCGGCTACTTTTAACGTGCAAACGTGGAATTAAATTAARGRAAATTACTAAYTAAATAARAGCTTTCTTAAAAAAATCRTTTTYRTTKCATTCATTCTAGTGSTTGATGKGTCGSCTCATTATATACARGGTGATTCAAGTTKAATCTTGATAACTTCGGRAAKCAATAGAACAGGTTAGAATAATGTCCTTAKATGATGTACAAWTTTTTCCTAAATYGCATCRWTYYGCAGAYACAAAGYGKTGAAAAARATWWAAAAGAAAGATTTKAAAGTTTTTCTTTCATAAGTTTTGAATTTGYTATTCGATTGTAGCAAAATTGTACATACTTTCCTGACTGTGTTTCAATTCCAAATTAAAATCAATTCCTGGGCTTCAGTCATTTATTGTCTATTTATCAATTAAAATACGTTTCGGTGTAACTTCGGTGCATATATTTTCTAAATATATGCCAAGGCTTAAAGTAGCAACAACGCTACACATAGAAACTGATGATGGTGGAAAACACCGAAACGTATTTTAATTAATAAATAGACAATAAATGACTGAAGCCCAGGAATTGATTTTGAATTGTAGCAAAATTCAGCATACAAMCAGTTTTGATKACCTYACAGRYGTTCCTTAARTTKTAGCCTGTTTGGAAGTGTATTCTGTGGGCTCCACTAATTTTGTACCAAAACTTGAAACAGAAAACTGCACTGATTCATTTGGAAACTTTTATGTCTCTTTTTATTTTTTTTCCATTTCAACTTGTTTTTTTACCCATTTTACCATTTTACCTCGATTTAATGAAATTCCATAGAAGGTAGTTACGTAGATTTAATGTACCAACTTAAGTTTGTGCCGAATATTGTCGCAAGTCTATTTAAAATTAAAATATTTCTTGTGAAGTACCAGTAGTTCTTTGGATTATTTTGATTGTGGACGTCTAAGATCTCGTCTAGATCAATCGTTTATAAAACACCAGTAAATACCCGTAAGGAATTTATCAAACGGATTAAAAACGCTGGTGATAAAATGAAAATTATCCCGTTCTAATAACAGCTGCGGGGTCGATGCCAAAAATGTATTGATGCTGGAGGAATGCACTTTGAGCAAATTGTAATTTTTGTATTAGTTGGTAGAAGTTTGTAGTACCTAAATGTTGTGTACTTAGGTAGTTGCGATTAAATTATTGATATAAATTTTTATTATGTTTTCAAAACACGAAAAACACTTAGAGAAATAGAGTTGTAACAATATTCAGCACAAACATCAGTTGGAGCAAATCCTTGAGTTTCCATTGCTTGCCGTAACGTTGAATGAACTTTACGGGATTATATTGTCCCAAATTTAATTAAATATCTGAGAAACAAAATGAAATGTGGAAAAATAACAAAAGACAAAAAAGTTTCCAAATGGACCACTGTGGAGCCGTTTTATTGAAATTAATTTTGTCGCTTTGATACAAAATAAAGGTGGAGTGGCTCACAAAATGCCCTTCCAAGAAGATTGAGTAGATAAGACTGAAGTAGCATTTGTACGGCAAAGAAGAAGTGTTTGCATTCTGAACTTCACTACAATCGGATGATAGGTTAAACTTATGAACAAAATCTCAAACTTTTTCAATGCTCTGCATCTCCAAAACCATCAGATTTAGAGAACATGTTTATATCATGTAGGGACATTCTTCTAATCTGTTTAAATCTGAATCACCCTGTATATTTGACTCAACATTTGCTCTAAACTTCATATTATTTAATTAAATTACAGTGATTTTTCAACGTTTGATTAAACGTTGATTCGCTGGTTATTAACGATTTTTTTTTGTAAAATTCGCGTATAATTCGATAATCAATCAGATACTTTGCAGATCAGACCCCATTAGATATACAGTGTGTTTAAAAATCAACATGACAAGAACTAGCAACAGATTCTTAAAAGTAGTTTACATCTGAGAATATGTTTTTCGTCGTTCAGAACCAGCTTTGGTCCTCCAAAATTTCGATTGCTTTTTTTCTTAGTAAAATACAGGAACCTAATTTAAAATTCCATTTCTCTATTGGAATTTATGATTAAATGCAGTGTTTTCGAGAAAATTATGAAATTCTACGTCTTAATCAAATGTGGCGGACTGTCTCAATAAACAACAAATAAACTATCCGAGCATCAGTCACGTTTGAAGATGTAAGCCACTCGTGCTGCGAAACGTCGGGAATGCATTATTTTCTACGACATGTTGAAAACTTCACCAGCTTCAAGCAATCCGTTGTTTGATTTTAGCACCTTAAATTTTAATTGTATTTGTGAAAAAAATGTCTTCATAAAAACCAACAATCGTATAAAAGCCACCTGCCTATATTAGTGATAATGCCCCATTGCATGCACATGTTTCAACAAAAAGTTAATCAAATTGACCTTTTGGAGTGTTAATTAACCATATTAGCTTTGTTGAAATGTTATAAGGAAAAAAATGATGTAAAACTTGAAAACGCATTGTTCTATTATGCAGCACCGGCACGCAATGTGCATTACATATTTATATTTAAATTGACTTTGAAACCCTATTTACCAAGCATCTCACAATTCATAAACTGTTTGAAGCTTTCATTTTCGTTTTATTCGTTCAGTGAATTTTTTTGGGCATTATACTAAACTTTCATGTTTTGAAAACTCGCGCTTAATGCGAAAACATCGAACTTGATATTTCCTTTTTCATATTACAATGCTATTGGTTTAATATCAGTTCGAGTTGTTTATAAACATAAAACAAGCCCGCACATATTGCCGTCCCTTTGTTAATTCAGTGCAAGTGCTTGGGAAAAAAAGGAGTGTAAGCATCCGGTCTTATTTGAAAACGTTTGGAAGCTGATGATGAAAAGCTCTTAACCATTAAATTAAATCAATAGAACTGTCGATAGGTGAGAATTAAGTTGCAAAGTTACAAGCACAAACAAATATTTACTCATTAGCTAAAGAGGTTTTTCTTAGGTCTTGGTTTTCTGGTTCAAGTACGGTCTATGTTTGGCGCTGAAGCATTTCACAAATTAGCAGTTTTATTTTACTTTCACATGCTATGCTTTTTTCAGCCTCGGTCTTTCCAATTTACCTCCAACAAGATGAAAAATGTTGTCGTTTATCTACCTAAACGAGTATTTCCTCATTTTGTGCCTTGCCGGTTTCAACATGGCAACTCCTACAGTGGATAGGGATGACATCAAGAATGTTAAGTATGAAGAGTATGTGATTGAGCACGAAATATCTTCTACTCAAGCCAGGAATGTTGCTTTATCTACCGATATCAATGCAAGTAAGTAGAAGTAGTAGTAGGACTGTGATTGATTAAGTAATATAAAGCTGAAAACAAAGAATTTAAAAATTCCAAAGTAGAACTTTCTAAACGCGATTCATTGACAACCTGCATCCACTTGCAGGGTTAATTTTCTATAAATTCTAGACAAGCAAAAGCAATCACTGTTTTCTTTCTAATATTGCGCGAATGCTAATTACTACCTAATAAGTCAATTACAAAGACACCAAAAGGTAGAAACATACTTATTCGGTTAAGCTTAACGACCTCAGGGAAATGCATTTAACGCACTACTCGCATTCATCCTTTACCTCGATACTTTCTTTGCGCTGAATTTACTGTTAAATTTACTGATTTTTTTTTGTCTTGTTTGTTTCAAATATTTTCTATCTTCAATTATTTTAGTTCTTCAGTATCTTACACGTCGCTTGTTGAGGTGCGCTTGTATGAACGCTTGAAACGTTTCTTGATGATAAAAATTGCAATTGAAAGAATAACAATATTAGATTTTCTGGTCCTGGACTTCAATTATTTTATACCTTTTTTCTTGGATATCTTGTTCCAACTATTAGCCATCCAGTAAGTATATGTTCGGAAGAAGTTATTTACTCATTAATCGAGTAGTTCTCGCGATGTCAATTAATGATTGCGTTATTACTTTCAACTTGTTTTCCTTTTTTTTAAAGCTGGTTCAAATGATTTTTAATTTTGTTTTCAATGTGAAGATGTTTGTATATTTTGAAACTTTTTTAGTAAGAAATTTTCATCGCTTTCATACTCCTTGTTATCAAGTTTATCGTTACTAGACTCTTTATTTTCACTACAATATTTTGCTTTAATTCTTAATTGCGTTAATCTTACAGCAAATAATTTCATCAGAAGCCAACACCGTTCTGTTGCAACAGCTCAAGGTGCTTAGAAAATTTATTTATTTAAGAACTGCAAGTATGAAAAAGTTACAACGTTTTTAACGCGCTAACGTACCTACTCGACTTTACACAAAAATAGCTTATTTGTGAATAAACTCCTAATAAATTGTGGAAGGAAATGTTAATGGGTTAATTGCTATCATTGGCGTGTTGTTTACTGAACAAATTGCAAAAAATAAAATTATTGAACAAGTTATATGAAATACTAATAACGGTTTCTACGTGAATCAAAAGGTTTGCATTTCCAGAGGTTAGGTAGGGTATACATTTGTAATTTCTTTCGGCTGATTTTTACATTTATTAATCAAACACACAAAATAAGTAGTTTGGTAAAAAATCACACAAATTTGGATGATAACTCGTATTTCTGCAAAGGACATTGGAGAAATTGGCGTAAAGCACTTTTCAAGTCTCGGCTTATATTTAATTTGAATATTATTAAGGCTGTTTTACAGTTAATTTTCCTGTCACTGGTTGCACAGGCCGCAAATATGTGCCATCGCAGTAATGATAGCCATTTTACAACATAATTTGCTATAACAGCGGCCTTTACAGTAAATAAATGAAAATTATAGCAAGGCCAAAGCAATTGCCACGTTTTTTCCACTAAAAATCGAATTCAATCCTACACTTCATTAGGTTCATGAGAAATAGTTAATAAAAAACCTATTATGTGGAGAATTAAAATTGTTTACAATCAGTCTATGGCTGAAATTGCGTATATTGGGTTACCGAATCCAGTGTAATTATGTTTTTAGATAAACTGTAAATTGCCTGAAAATATAACTGTGTACATAAATGCAGTAAAAATGTAAATATGTAGTTTGTTTTGCAAAAAATTTTGAACATTTTTGTTTAAATATGGTTGTTCAATCATATTTAAACCATATAAATGTTTATTTGTAGTTTTTCTTCATCTTTGACTAAGTTTTGCACAAGTTTTCTCAAAAGAGCTTTCGGCTAATTAGAGACAATTATTACAAGAGTCAACACCACAATATTAATGTTGCTCATTTGCTGGTATTTTCCTAGAAAATTGACCTGAATAGTTGAGCCAGCGTGATTTTCCACAGCTAAATGAAAATTCTGTAATTAAGAAGTGTGAAATGCATAAGATGAATCATACATATAGTCAATTTAGGTGGCCTAAAAATTACCAGCTCTAGTTTTAGTAAGAATATAATCGATTGTATTTTTAAAATTAATTTGCTATGTTAAAATCCATGTTTGATTTTTTTAACTGACCAATCAATAAATGTTAACTGAAAGCCTTGACGTCGATTTTCCCGATGTAATTTATTTGCTCAAGTGGCATAATGAGATTTTCAATCCGGCATGCAAATATTTGGACATCTAAACGATTAACGTTTAAATTTAGCTTCTTCAATATGCGACTTTCAAGAAGGTATTTCAAGTATCCCATCAAAAAATTTAAATTAAGCGCACGGCTATGCGAGATTAGTCAAGCCTGTTCGGGCAGTGAAGCAGATAAAAAGTCGATTAGAAGTCGAAAAAAAAATAAATACACAACAATTAAGTTAAGTAAATCCGGATTTAATTGTTCATTGATAATTGATTTACCGTTCGTGGCCTGTATTGGATTTCAATAATTAATGTCCTTCTAAGCAAATTGGCGGACTGATGTTTAGCACGTTGCGGATTTGCTTAATTATTTTGACACTTTTTAATACGATTTTTATGAGAAAATTGTTTGATTTTTTCAGTTATTGTACCTGCCGGCTGTCAAGAATGTACCAAAGAAGAAAAGCATTATTGTATGAGTGCAGACCTCATAAGTGATCATTGTTGTTGTGATAGAAGATTTCATGGTAAGGCAAACCAAATTAAAATGTTTTATATTTAAAACTTGTTATTGTTGAAGCTGTACCCTTTAAATTGCAATAAAAATCTATATAAATAGAAATTAACTATAAAACACGACAAAAACAGTGATCTTCTTTAATAGGTTCTAATTGGTCGCACTTAATTAAGGTTAATATTAATTGCTGAATTTTCTAACTGAGAACATGCAACAATACGGGCGTATTTGCTGTTGCTGTAATGTGTATGTATGAATAATATCGCCGGTTATTCATGCAATCAGTGGCGTTAATATAGTACAAGTTTACAACCTTGTTCGTTCTTTTTTTAATAAAACAGAACTAATTATGGTATCGATATATTTGGAGCCAAAAAATGCGAATATCCTCGTTTGGGTGATTTAAAATCCTTAATAACACTTATTTTAATGCACAAGGTTTGATTATTATTATAACGAGAATCGCAGTAGAATCGATCGCCTAGTGCATGCATGTATGCTTAATTCATGTTTTTTCCATGGTGCTGAAGTAAATCGAGCATGCTTTTAATGAATAAAATATAACATGCAAAAGACAGATCAATGATTTTTCTCTTACTCAATTGGTTTATTCTCAGATCCTGGAATGCAGATTTCTTTGTAACGAAAGAACTACTTTAAAAAAAAAGAGGCGATCGTCAATTGAATGGATGAGGAGATATTTTCAAATATGATAAAAATAATGTTCAAATCATGCCAGATCGGTTGCTTTCACATATTCACGTTTTTTGCAAATACTGCGCTCTAAATAAAAAGGGAAAATTATTTACCATTTAATTTTTCATCTATGAAACATATGTTTTCCTGAAGACGTTCCTGAAGACGTTCAACTTTAACAGTATAAATACAGGCTTTGACACTCTGTATTGTTAATTTTTTAATGCTTATGTAGACATTTTTTATTGATTGCGCGATATAAGCCCTTAAACTATGACGGCTCCTTAAAATTTGCCTATTTTACTTCTATATTTTTAACGATCAACGATTTTTTAAGTCTTTATTTGATGGTTCTCTATACACTCTATCATAAAGGTTCTAATCATATTTATTTTCGACTGTTGAACTTGGATTGTTCCTGTAAATTATTTAAAAATAATTTGCTAGAAAACTATTGACATTAATTTCAATGGTCTGTGAGAATGTTAATAATGTACGCTAAGACACAAAACTAGAGAATGTGGAGTAAGCAGTATATTAATTTTTTTACTTAAAAGTTTCAATTCAATTTATCATTCAAGTATTCACTTATTTATGACTTCTATCATTTTCTAAGTTTTGAATTATTTAAAACTCTCTCCATTTACACTTTGTATTTTGTATCAGTGATTGTTCTAAATCATCAAATATTTCGATTCTGCCTAATTTCAAAGTGTTTCGAAATACAACGCGACTATTATTTTGTTTGACTAAATCAGGCACTTTAAATTGATAAAAATGCGTGTAGACTTAAGAAACCGTTGCAATTTTTCTACCAAAAAACATCTCATTAAAAACGTCAATAGGTATTAGGAACATTCAATGATAAATATAGGGCGAATCAGGAGGAAATTAAATTGTTTTAAGGATAATGCGAAATATTATCAAATGTCTAACTCAACTGATTTTTCGTTTGCCTTTTGAGCTTGATTAATTTGAATTACTACACTTCTACTTAAAAAATTTCAATTGCCTCTTGAATTACTCTGTATTTTACTAAGTATTTATTTATAGCAAGTTACCTTCTAAAACTATGTCTTTATCTGATTAAAATCATTGTAAACTAGTTTTGAATAAAGTGAACCAAAAAATTGTAGAATTCTTATAGCCGCTGATTTTTGCATTAATTGCTCCAACAAATAATCTAATTGTTCCGGATAAATGCCATTTAGATATACAAACTGTTTATTTCCAGGAACAAATTTTTCATGAAATAATCAGTGGAAGCACTGTGAAAACAATGCGAATAAATTATTGATTGTTCGGGGAGTTATCACGCAAAATATTTCCATTAGACACGCAAGTCACGTGTATTAAGCTATAATACTATTGTCAATACCGTAAATCGTATTCTAAAACCTTATTGATTAATTCCTTTGTCTTATGTCATAACCGGTAGTTAATGATACATATATGTATGTGCTAAAAATTAAAATTGCCAAATTACTGCCGGATATTAAACCGACAAATCTGCAGGATTCGGAGTCCATCCCAAAAATAGTCAAGATTGATTGTTATGTTTTGAAATCAATTAAATATGTCTTGATATTATTACTTAGCTGCGGAATATGGGAAAATAATTTGTAAAAAGTGAAAAAAAGCTTCTACTTCGTTTTAAAAATTTAATTACATTGATCTTAATAATTATTGTTATTATTGCAAACAAGTTTCTCTATTTCTTTTAAAGTTGCCCTTGTCCTTGCTAATAAAAATGTTTCTTTTGCATGAGTAATTTTATGTAGTTTAATACGATTTCAAATTGAAAACCAACTAGTTTAAAAGCAATCTGCACCTTTCGGATAAAATACAATTATTCAAAACCGCAATTCAATCAATATATTATATAACTTTAGTAATTTTAATTATTTAATAAAAGTAAATTAATAAACGTAAATTAATGCTAATGTATTTTTTTCCAGAATTTTTGCCATATATTCCGCATACATGCTATTTTGGCACTCAGCTTTGTACCACGATAGCCCTAGATTGCAATAAATATACTCGCCTTAGGACGTGCTGCTGTGATAAATATTTACTTCCCAAATGTAAGTATTAATTTCTATATACACAGTGAGTTAGTTCTTTCTGGAATGATGTAAAAATGAGCGTTCTTGCTCATTTTGAGTCCGAGAAATGAGCAAAAACGAGAGGGAAAACATGAAATTGTGTGGGCCACTGCAGTGTCCTGCAAGCAAATGGTTAATCTTCATTTCCTTTCATTACTCACGAAAAGTCAATTTTTCGAAAACATTAGCACAAATTTAGCAAAAACTCCAGACTTGATTTCAAATTGAATTAGAATTAATCATTTCGAAGAATCTTTCTTCAAATAATTAAATAATTAGAGTATTAGTTAATTGTCTAATGTTAATGTTGTTAACTTTTTATTCAACTACACAAGTTACGCTTAAGTCCTTTGGGTAAAATTGTGCTTTTTCGTTCAACAACTCCTCCAGATAAATGACCACAAACGACTCCTGTTATCATTGAATAATAAAAAATAATAAAAACTATTATTTTAATGTACTTTAGCGCACATTGTAATTGAAATATTGTTTTGTCTGTTTCAGGGAAAGAAAAATTTGGCTCTGGCGCTTCGCTCTCTGCCACAGAAATATCTTTCGCCTTCTTAATATTGCATGTATGCTTTGTAAATATTCTTGTACAGGTTTTCTTTAATTTCTAATACAACACGCTAATAGTAGTTTTATATGAATGGAACCAGTGACATAATGGAATATTAGTGTTATATTTCCATAAAAACAAACAGTCATAGATCATGCATTTATACTTTAGACAAAGTACAAAGCATGCATCAATAGCTTTTTTGTATTTGAACCAAAGTTATTACCCACACTACATTGTTTGAGTTTATAAAATTGACACTACTTTTGAACAGTATTAGAGATACTATCTTGTGCGTAAGTAAATATCTACTACTTGTTCTTACTGTTAAATCCATGATAATATTTATTTCTTAACATAAATTATTTTAAAAGTATTTTGCAGTTGTTTTTATTGATTTAACCAATTGAAACTCGAGATTGTGCGTGTGATACTGATAAGCACATGCACTAGAAGTATAACTTTCTTCGTCTCTATCAGTATATTTGTAGGTCCGTCATGTAATTGTCCCTTTTCTATAACGATCAAAATGAAGCCCTGTTAATCTAATTATTGGAAGCAACTTTTGATTATTCAGAACCGTCAAAAGCTATTGTTCTAAACGCTATAGTCATTGTTAAATTAAGGGTTGTTGCGGTTAAAAACGCAATAGTAAATTAGAATGCTTAACGAGAGTTCTGCAACTTAGTTTGCTAAATCTTACACTTGGAAATATACTTCTCGTTACATGCTCATATCTAAAAAACAATATTATATATTAATAACATTTAATTAAAGCGTTAGTTCATTACAAAGAGGTGAAGTTTTAAAACATTTTAGTGACTGTGTAGTCAGTTAAGTTTATTCTTGGTGTTTTTCTTCTTAGTTGTACAAGGAACTTTGGACAACCCTTTGTAACAAATTAGACTTTTTACTCGATAACTCTGTTTAGATGCAAAATCAATATTTTTTAAACTCGATAAAGAACGGGCCCTTTATAAGAATTTTTTACTTTTTTTCATTTGTCGATTTGTATTCCTTTTTGTCGTGATATATTTGGATTCAACCTTTTCGTCAACATTTTTTCGCTCATAGACGTGTGATTTCTGTATTCACATTTCTGAGCTTAAAAGCAAAAAAGACAAAATACCCGTTTACAAATTTTACCATCGAGTTGACGAAGAAATCGAATAGAAACTACTTGGATTAAGATTCTCAATTTTTGTTTTCTTGAAGATTTAAAAAAAAGATATTGGCCATTATTTTCCAATGAAATAAAATCAATCAGAGCATTACAGTTTTAATCATTATTTAATATCGACAACCGAAAGTAGCTTTAGTATTTTCGTAGAATTGTGCATATTTTTCGAGCCTCATAGTCTCCTAGCAGCAACAATGCATCATATATTCATATTTCAGGCACAGCTCGTAAATATTCATAGAACATTTTACAGAAGAATGGCATTTGACTGGTAATTTATCTGTAAATAAAACAGTCAAAATGTAAACGAAATACAAAAATTAATATTTTGTTCATTTACCGATAAAACTTGCACATCCACAGCAATATCCTTGTATAATGTTTATATCGTCATCACAATAATGCGCTGGACATCCGACACACCATGGGCCTAAACCAATCACCCGCATAGTTCCTAAGAAGTGCATTTATTGCATTATTTTCATCTTCTGTAGTCTTAAATACACAAATTAAATGTTTTGCAAAAACATACAGTCTTGCAATCGGCATATTATTTTGGAATTGTAAAGTTTTTCAAACAAAATGGTTTGAGTTTTTGCTTAATGAGACTCCTTTTATTTCAGTAGTCCAGTTAAAAAATTCTTTAAAAAAGTGCGACGCCAAAGTCGGTGTATTATTTTAAAATTGTAAAGTTTTTCCAACAAAATTGTTTGAGTTTTCGCTTAATGAGACTCGTTTTAATTCAGTAGTCCAGTTAAAAAATATTTACAAAAAAGTGCGACGCCAATGTCTTTTGTTGTATATTATTATTATTTTGTATGTTTCGAATTACAAGCAAAATATGTATATCTTGCTTAACAAACAATTATGTTTTATTTGGTATACTTAATGTTATTGGATGATTTGAAAGACAATAGATATATTGCAAACATCCATCGCAGATATCTTTTATGAGCAAATTTATTCGTTTTTGTTAGCAAACAATTTTTATCAGGGTAGTAGCCAAAAATCAATAAACATTTCTTCTTTTTTATCAAACACAACTTTTCTATCACAAAATATACATTTTTTAATATCTCGTAATTCGCTTGAAACGTGCACGATCAACATGATCGCTTGAAACGTGCATCATGAATGTATCTTTTTGTGGCGTAAACAATAAATCGTTCAATTTTTTTGCTTGACTGATTTTATGAATAGTTTATATGATTACTGGTCCAGACATTTTAAATATACAGAACGTTAAATTTTAAAATTTTATAATAAAATTATGAAATAGTTGAGATTAACTAAATTACAGAAATGAGCTATTATTATTATTATCATTATTATTAATTTAAGTGTTTTTAAGGCAAAATTAGCCACAAATTGATTAAAATGGCACTACCAAATATCGCCAAAAAGATTATGAATACATACCGTAATACATTTTTAATTCAGCCCTCTGTATATTGAAAAAGTAGCATTTCAGGACTTGCACATTCTTTCCTCCTTTGTTTCTTTTTAAAATCGCTTCAATAGTTTGGTTGCGTATTTAAATAACATCCTGTATGTAGATATTATTAATAGTTATTTTAATCACAAGTAAAAAAATACACCATTTGGAACCATATTTTTATTAAACAAACCATCTGCTTCTCAGATGTATATCTTTACGGTTTTACCTCGAGGACTAGATTAGAATGATATTTTGGTGATTCAGATCATATTCATCACAAAATTGTAGGTTTTTAGAACACAGTTCGAACCGCAGGTAATATATGAATAAAAAGTAAATTTTTCTTGCAAATAAGCGCCTATTCGCATATTCAGCGTTAAATTTAAAAAATAACTAATAATGGGATTAGATACGATACAATTGAATACAAATTTCGTATGTTGAGAGTGATGTTAAATAATTGGTTAAAAATAAAACAGGTAAAAAGGAAATATTGGAAATTCTTACAAGAGATTTTCACGTAAATAGATTATTTTCTATTTTTCTAAAAACGTGCATTGCATTATAATAAAATTTTTAAACAAGAACTGGTTGTATTTCAGTATAAAAATATAACTATGTTCTTGAAGCATCGACTACTGTTTCGAGCAAAATTAAATATTCTCAAGGGCTATTCAGTTTGCAACATCCATTTTTCAAATTTAATTTGACAAAATTAAAATGCAGCCAGGCCAAAATCGCCGGACCAAAATAGTTACTTCATTAACACGAGAAAAAAATTCACTCAGCTTATTAATTACAGATATTCACTAAAAAAGCAGGAGGTAATAAAAACAAGTTTCAACAACAAACAAAAACAAACAGTTTTCGAATCCAAATTGAAAAATACATTTCATCGATTAATAATTATCTGAGACGCACTTAGCATTTTCAATATTCACCTCCAAAAATATATTTGAGGACTTCACATTGAATAATTCTGATTTCAAACCTACCTCTAACAGTTCTTGAGATTCTTGATGCACTGCCCTCAACATCAACCGCAAGGAACGCGATAACCAAGAGGAACAAAGTAAATTTTAATTTCAAAAGCGACATGGTTTTGCCGTCTACCTCAGCGAATAACAACAAAATAGGATAGAGTTTATCATTAAACTGCCTAAATATCCTTAGATGCATTCCTCATTAATCTTAATGTTTCAATGAAAACATTATGATTGCGCATAAATACAGGATGTAAGTGGAGGGTCAATAGCTTAAGAACAGATAACAATTAATAAAAAAATACTTTATTTATTTCGAAAAAGGCTTTTGGCCAAAACCGTATTACTTCCCTTTAAAAAAGTTATAAATCAATCCAACGTAAATTGAGGATAAACAATAGAGAAGTGCTTATCAGTAAGTTACTGAAGTAAGTTTTTAAAAGTATTTTTGAAAAATTAATTGTTATCTCTTCTTAAGCTATTGACCCTGCACTTACATCCTGTATTTATGCATAATCATAAAGACGTTTGAAATTTAAATACTATTTTACCTGCCGGTACAGCAGATTTTTTCATTTTCATTTGTGTCAAATTCAAATATTTAAAATATTTCTTCTCAGTCTTTAAATGAAGTATTAATTCTTCAATGAGAACACTATGGACAGGCATAAATACAGGATGTAAGTACAGGGTCAATAATCGCTCGAAAATAAATTGAAATAAAAAAAACATTGGAGTACAAGTTGCAAAAGGAACTAAGCAAAAAATTAATCAAGCGTTAATAGGGAATCTTCTGGGGGAACTGCGTTTCGATAGGGACGTTCTATTTAGAATGAAAACTTTATTTTACTTTTTTATACACCTTTAAAAAGATTTTGCATTCTGATTTGAGCAAGTTGCATATGAAACGCGAAAAAAGCAAAGCTAATCCTTGTTTCGTTTAAACCAGAAACTGTAGTCGCTGCGAAATAAATAATTCAACTGATCAACCCACTCTATTTGCCGTAAATGATGATGAACAACAACATTTTCCAAGCATAAATTTGTCTGCTTAAATCTAGTGAAGTAGGACCTCCCTAATACGAGATCCACTTGATGAAATAAACTCGATCAAATCGATCCCGTTATTCAATTTAAATATATTCGTAATATACAGTGGCTAAAAATGAGAAGCCACATCGATGGACCGCATAAAATTAAAACCAAAAGAAATAAATGGGAAAATGGGCGTTGAGCGTCTCGAAGTACAGTTAGATGAGATGCAAATTTTGAAATGCTTTAAATGCCTTCTTCTTCAGTTCACATCAAACATTCGCATGAGAAGCTAGAAAAGAGGAGTGTGTAAAGATAACTTCAAAGTCTCAATCTAAGTTACCATGTTTTTCAGTATCAGACTATTTCAATGTCTTCTTGTGGCTTTTTATTGTTTAGTGATAAATGCAACAAGTAAGTATTTTTTTAAATTAATCACTAGCAGATTGACTACATTTTTTTAAATTCAACAGCTACTTTGTGTATTTTAAAACTTGCGTTTTTTCAGCAATTTTCAACAATGCCATTGACTCTCCCTATCAACGTCCACTGCAGTCTCCTTTCAACGCAATCTTGGGATTATCGAACACTTTAGGTTTCAGGCAAAGCGTAAATCCAAGTTTTAGTGCATTTAGACCGTATAGTGCTGCTAGCAGTACTGTAGGTTCCGATTTATTGAAAAGGAGATGTCCAGTATGCGATTCATCAGTATACGGTTACTGCAGTGAAAAGTTATTCCATGATTCCTGCTGTTGTCACGATCCAAATAATCCTTACGGTAAGTTATTGAGTATAGTTTACTTTTAGGTTTTATATTTCCTTATTGCACATTTAGTGGCCGGCATCGATTACAAATTGAAAAAACATTTCCATATAAAATAAATTAACTAAAATGCTTGAAGTAAATAAAAACAACTTGTTTCAGATCAACTTCCCTACCAATGCCAATTCGCAGACTGCAGCTTTCTTCATGCAAACACTTGCAGAGAACACAAATTGATCACCGCATGCTGTTGTACAAACTATTTGCTGTATAAAAAATAGGTAATCTGAACGTCTAGGCAGATACTGTAACCTCGATAATGTATTTATTTATTTATTGAAAGAAAATGTAGCAATAAAATTCCGATTTGTATTACAATGTTTATTTAAAAGCCACCGCTCTTCTTAAGAAGAAGTAAAACCTTGTGCTATAAATTATAATAAGATGTTTTATAGGTAATTTTGAAAGTATCGCATTAAGCAATACAATTGAAAATCCAAGAAACAAATGTAATTCGCAAATTTTATAAAAGTAGGACGCGCAAATATAAATCATTGGTTTCAACAATATAATCGTAGAAAAGTATACGTGGAAAAGTGCCTGAGATCCCTTACCATAGTCATTAGACAATGAAAAACTAATAAAGTGAGTCACTTATTTCTCGCAAGACTTTATAATTCGAGCGGAACACTTCTGAAGATGCGAAGGATTCGTTTGAAAATTTATTTTCACCACGGTTTAAAAGCCCGAACAACTCACCGGTTGCGATAAGAATTTAATAAGAATAAGAAACTCAGTTTTTAAACCATTCGCTAGAGGCAATTTTTCTGAAAGGACTTTGAAACGCTGTGGATTCCATCCATATTGTCTGGAAAATCTTTAAGTTAGAAGCTTCAAAGTACGGTTTTGCGTCAGCCATGAATGCAAGAGATTAAAGAAAAATCAACCAGAAAACTTCTTGCAGCATCATTGATTAGAGAAAAGTTGGTTCYATTAGAGAAAAGTTGGAAAACTTTTTGCTTTTTTTTCACTTTTTGGTGGGTTCTTAAGTTAGAAACTTTAACGTGTAATTTGCGCAGCAGATCTGAAATACTATATATACATAWAKATAAATAATCTTTATWKCCTATAGAAAAAGGCTATCGASCCAATCGGTCTTTCTGCCCCTGAAATACTATTTTCAAATATTTCTCATTTAGAAGCGGGGCCACAAGCGTTTTTTGATCACCGTTGCRTAGAAGAAACTTTGCTCTATTTTTCCTGTGCGTCWCACTGTTTTTCATACTTTTCAGATATTTTCCAATTTTTTGCCTGYTAGAGATATTTAAAACATTGCTAGAKGATTTAAAAAATGTTACATACWATGGAACTCAGTTAGAAGCCTTTTTTGAAGGAARCTTTCYTCTATTCATTTTGGGTGACTCAATTWAACCTAACGTTTCATCAATTATTGAGAGTTTTTATGTTTGACTCTTGAACTAACCCAAACTGCCCTTAGTTTGGGTTCCGCCACCTTAGAATGAAAAGTTCGTATTTATTGAAAAATTAACAGGCAAAAGTAAATTAAGTCCTACTTCCCTTGCACAAGTGTGCAATCATGTAATATACTCTGGCAGTTTTGGTGCAAAAAAATCGGGATTTATACCATCTTTAAGTGAAATTGATAAATTACACAGTATACATCGATTTTTGATCTAAACAAATTGTTCTATGGCTTGCAAATTTATGTGAGTATTTCAGGGTTGTAGAGTCAAAATTTCGATAAAATTTTGTTTGTTGAAGTTTATTTCGAAAAATTTTCTGAGCATTTGGTCCAAAATACAAAATTGCCAGTGACTCGCTTGGTATTGGTTGCAATTTAGTCATATATTAGCCAAGACACATTTTTTCAAATAAGAAGATTATATTTGTTGATATTACATAAAAATATTTCTGGCCATTTATAAACCTGTTACTTCTTCACGTACCTACATTCTCTTTTTTAAGTAAGTACTCTCAAGAACTATTTGTCATTTTCTCATCAAATCTAGAACTGAGCTTAAATAATGCAAGCATCTCAATGATAAAAGGAACAAATATATTAAGAGCTAAACGTTAGGAGAGAAAAAAATCAAACCCCAAAAATGAACTAATTGTGCAATAAGAAACAAACATATTTTCCCGTTTGAGGAAAAGGAAAAGAAAACGTCACCCATTTTATATTCAAATTTCACATAAACGAAATTTAATTGTTTTACGAGCCAAACTGTGTTTGTTATTGTAGTTATATCTTTGATTTAAGTGAATTATTGAGATCTATTAAATGCCAGTAAATATAATTTTTTGATAAATTTTAAAAAGTTTAAGCCTTCAAAATGTTTTCACTATGAACTCTCTAATGTCGATATAAATCATGTTATAATATATTTCGTACCTACATTAAATGACAGGATATTGCAATCGTCTAATTTAAAAGCTACAAATTCAACTAAAAAATGCATATCGTATATTTCATAAAAGAGGGATGCACAAATGTTTTAAAATAGTAAACGAGGTAGACAACAATGTTTAATAAAACATGAATCGCTAGACTTGAATGCAAACGTTTGCCTGGAAACGTTACTAAAATCATTTAACTTAGTGAGTCACTTATTTCCAGCTATCCTATAAAATGTAGATTCATTTTGTTGTTAAGTTGAAACTCCAATAACAAACTCACGGTAAATAATATAAAATCGATTTTTCACTTTTGTAATCCTAAAGCTGCTAAAAAGTGACCCACTATGTATTTAAATATCGCATGAAAGTAATGGAAATATTTGGATATACATAAAATTTTGTAGCGAGGACAGAACTGTATTTGTTTTATTTAGCTCATCTAAACGAAACTAGCTTGCATTTTTGATTTTAGTGAACTATAGAACACATTAGATATAAACATTTACTTTCTAATTCAAAATGCAAAACTATTGAGATTTTATTTTATAGACACCGTTAAAATGTACCAAATTAAGTCAATTTAGTTTTAAATATACCATTAATACTTCCAAACCGAGGACCAACATTTGTTTTAAATAATTTTAAAAATATATATTTTTAGGGCAAATTAGTTTGCATATCGTTTTACACCCAGTTCCAGTCATTTCACGATTCATCAGGAATCTCTTCTGTTCTTCGTTGCTTGTATTGTACAGTCTTTACATCATCCCAACATTTTACATTTACATTAATAAAATATTACATTTACTTAATACGAATTCAGTTAATTATGACAGGTAAGTACCTGAATACATCAAAAACAAATTCTTCAGGCGTATTTTATACACTGTTCGCAAATATAACTGCAAATGCATGTCTGACAAATTGTTTTCATTTTGATTTAAAAAACTACCTTTAATTGGAAAATTGTTTTTCTTAAATATAAATCTAAAAGGCAGCAGTGATTGTGCTAAGAATGGCTATACACTTGTAGAAATATTAGCATTATTTCTTGTCTGCGGTATTCTGTAAGCCTTCTGTTGGCTTACATCTTATGACATTTACATTTACATTGTCTTTACATTCTGAGATTTACAGTTCAAAGATAGTCATATCATACAGCAAGATGGTACCTTTTCTGTGGTTTAATTTTCAAGTCTATATAATAAACTAAACGTTAACGTTACTTGTTAACGTTCACAACTTAAATATTGACAATGAGAAGATCATGAGTATCACAGCAGTAAATAAACTAGCACTAACTTAAGTTATTTTGTACAAGATTTATCTCTTGCTTAATGTAACGATTGATAGTTACGTTTTACATCGCATACGAGAGTGATTATTGAATGTAGATGGTTTTGTTACTTGAATTTAAATAATTTTATTGCATGATGACATAATTGTGTAGCATTTTTTCAACCAAACAACACAAATTTAGAAACATCGAATCCACAATACATAGTATGTTTGTATAAGAGTAAAGCATATGATTAATTTAACTAAAATTTACTTTATTGTCACTGATAAGATGCTTTGTATAGGTAATGGTATTGCAATAAGAAAGTCAATTCCGCAAGTCATAAATATGGGGATAAAAATATTTCTAACAAAAAATTAAAAGGGATTTTCAAACTCATTTGAACCATTAATAATTAAAAAAATAAACATATATCCAGAAATATATATCAGATTTCGTATGTGTTGCGACAGCGGCTAGTAAAACATATAAAATATATAGCTATAAACACAAATATTTTAAAAGATTCAGTGCATTTGATAAAACCAACATCTAAGTATAATACTTATACACTCATTTAAAATTTTACTGAATTCAGTCCGCTGAACATTCTCCAAATCCAAAAATTGAATCCACATTATTTGAGTAAGTAAAATATTTACCTTTTGTGCATAAAACCTGATTACTGATTGCGGCAATTTTAATCTAATAAAATATGCCATAAAGTTGATCAAATTTTTAACGTTCTTTCTTCCATTGCACTTTCCATTTACCTTTACTCAGCTACGTAATACTGCTGCTCACAGCTTCACTCTGTCGAGAACAAGGCAGAGGTTTCGATATTCCTAAAGTAACAATTCCTGGCAAAGTGCCTTTTAAGGTCTGCACAGCTTGGTCTAGTGTGAAGTTTTTGATGATTACATCATTCACACTTATTATTCTATCTCCTAAAAATTGAGAACAATTATAAGTTAATGAACAAACAACTTGGAAATAAGATAAGGTTGTAATTAAAGTTATTTGGCTTTACCTGGAGTTATTTGACCGTTGGCTTCAGCAGGTCCATTTGGAACCAGACTCCTCACAACTATAATGGTAGACTTGGGATCAACCGGGTCTTGATAATCTAAAATTGAGAATCCAAGACCTCTGTCGTTCTTCACCAGTTTTACATTGTCCACTTCTTCACTCCACATGGCAACGTTTGTAATTTCCAAGGAGCGCGATTTTTCTTTCTTCAGGCTACTCTGTTCATCGGTTACTAGAGTTTTAAAACATTTAAGTAAAATCATAAATTAATTTAGAAATTAGAATCAATTAATAATAAAAATAGAATCGTTAATAATATACAGACAAAGTCCAGGCTATATTGAAACATGTGTTAGAAAAAATACTTCAATTTTTCTAGTTAATAAATTATAAGATCGATCATTAAATTCTTTACTATCAAGTAATTTTTTAAAATACCTCTAATGGAAACTGTAAACTGCCTAAGCAAAAACGCATGTTTAAATGGAAATGTTGTTTCGTTAGAATGCTGCCACTTAAGGATGAAAATTCTGAATTTTCAAAGCAATTTATTATTTTTTTCTGAGTTTATTATTATTATTTAATTATGTCTCCAACACAATGGCATTTTTTCTCAAAGCAATAGTATACCTGTTACTGTGCTAGATGTATGTAGGCTTGTATCACTTAAAGCTTTAATCAAGCGCTGTTCGGGCTGGGGTAGTAAATTTTTCAAACTGCCACCTAAAATGTTTCTTTGCTGGAAAGCCTCTCGATCTTGAGATGTGTTGATTACTCTGAAATAAACAAACAGCATTTTAATTTTGTCCTAAATTAACTCAAATGTAATACGTTCAAAAGACACTTGAAAAACGTCTTTTCTTACCTGTTATCCAAGTCTTTCCTGGAACAGACCAATCGCACAGCGTTAGGAAGTTCCCTAAGTATCTTCACTACGGCTACATGAGATATGCCTAGTAACTTCTGGCCATTCACTTCTAGGATTTCGTCACCGGGACTTAGTTTTCCATTTTGGCCTACCGGGCCTTCAGGCAGAATGGACCTAAATGAAGAATAAAAGCTTAGGTGGAAAATTAAGAAATATTCGTAGCTGCAATAATCTACTTCATCAGATATCTACTTAGTTTTCTTATATGGACCGTTACAAAATCGACGTATTAGAATTGTAATCTGACCAAAATAATCTGTGAGGAGTCGGTTAATTGAAGGCAGGGTGAATGCTGAAGAATATGAAAAAAATTGCAGATGTTCGTAAAAAAAATTCGTTTAGACTTTTTTTTTGATTTTGAAAACATTGTGTGTGCTTTAGTTTCTTGAAACTGCGTATCAGATAATTCAATTTTCTCATTTTTCTTTGTCTCTTTGTCTTTTACTTATTAGTAGCACAAATTTTTTTTTGGAACAAAGCAAACGGAAAATCACTAAAGGTTGAATATATTTGAATGGTCAAGGATATTCAGGTCTATTTAAAGATTTAGAAACTAGTTAATAAATCATTGTCGATTTCACGAAAGTTAATGTGTCTGTATAATTCTTAAACCTCTATCAAAGTATTTGTAATCAATGTTTTTCAAATTTTAAGTAACTCTTTCAGCTAATAGTTTAGTGGCATTCGTTTTGAGAACGCCCAAGCTCTACGGACTTTTATCATAAAAAAACCAAGACAACCAGCAAAAAGGTTTAGATTTTTCTCTTGAATCACTAAGCAACTATTTTATTAAAGCGTCTCAAACCCGTCCAAATGTAAAAATGTAAAATAAAAACCTAGATAATACAAGGAGACTTAATTCTAGTTGCGAAATTTTCAATATACCAAAATTTTACATTTATAAATTAAAAAATGTAACTTTCTTTCTTAAGAGAAACACGCAATTCAAATACAAAACCTTCAGAACCCAGTAAAAAACGCTCCCCATAAAATACAACGACTCTTTTATTGAGTCTGGAATTAACGGTGTGACCTGGTTTTATTTAAATGCCTACAATAAACGTTATCTTATTAACATGAACACGCAAAAATTCAGACCAAATTGACCGTCGTATATTTGCGTACCTTATATAGTGTCTTGGACGTAATTCGACTCCGTCTTCCACATCAACTGTACCCTCCAAACTGATTCCCAGCCCTATTAAATAAAATGAATATAAAACGACTTTAAATCTATGAACATTTTTGCAATAATTATTAATGAGTGTTTTTGTGTAACTATAATTTATTTGCCTTTTAATTTCGTCAGATTGGCTACAACAATATTTGAATCTTTGCCTAAGAGGTTTTCCCACTTTTGCTTTATCACAGTCTCTAAATCTTCTTCCGGATTTGACTTGAAGTCTTCCTCAATGAAGATTTCTTTGGTCTCAGGGTTTTGGTCGGATGCTAGTGACTCTTTTTCTGGCTTAGTCACATTTCGCTACACAGAATTAGCACGATTAAGTAATATTTAATTGACGGACTCTTCGGGACTTACGTACCTCATTATTGTCAATGGGAATCCAAGTTAAAGTTTGGATGGAAGGTGAAGGTGAGTTCTTCTCTCTTCTTTCTTGTGTAGCTAAAGCTTCTTGCAATTGCTCAAATTTAGGACCGCTTAAATATCTGCAAGTTTAGAATAGAAATGAGCACTACCGCTTCTAAAGATGTGGGTGGCACTCATACCTTTCAAAAGTTAATTGAACTGAATTTCCAGTTTCCTTTAGCACTGACACCGATTGTTGATTGCTTAAACCAAGCAACGATTTTCCATTAACTTCTATAATTCGGTCATTAACATTAATTAAGTTGCATTTAAATGCTTCCGATTCTTCTGCAACTTGTTTGATAAAAATGCCGTTCAAATCCTCCCGCTCGCATACATATCCTAAGATTTATTGCCGGGAGATGAATTTAACTATACATCATGTATCAGCAAATATTACCAGCCACAGTGATACCTAATCCAGTCTCTTTCTTATTGAGAATAACCGTATATTTCTCCGTTTCGGGATCTTTGTATTTGAAATCAACTGGTGTTACAATTATCTGACTAGTACTTACTGGACTCTCACTTTCATCGGGTGATTCGCATTTCGGCGAAGTTAAGTTGCTGAAAATGCCCATTTTTTAATTGAAATTGAAATGCCGCAACGGTTTGTTTCATTAAAGGTTACCTGTAATCAATATTGTTATTGTTTTTGAAATGCACAGTTTCACAAATATCCGCACTCTTCACTTTACTGATAGCACCAAAATTTTCATTGACTTCAAAGCCATTTTCTATTACATCTATGGTGGGTTTGATGGAGTCGCATATAATACCTGGTTCTATTTCGCAATTTTCTTCTATAATGTTAGAATCTTTTTTTATATCAAAATATGTAGAATACCCATTTTGCAGCAGATGTCGATCCAGTTCTTCAGAATCAGTCAGAATCTTAGTTGGAACAATCGGAGCGCTACATCGATACGTTTCAAAGTCTATGGAAGTGGGTTCAATTGGTCGAGCTACCACCATTCTCACCTGAAATGTGCATTCATTAACATTGAAAAACCTGTACTAATCGCATACGCTACTTCAGATCCAGTTTGCCTTAGAACTGAAGCGACTTGTTCCGCTGAAAATCCCCTCAAATTAACATTCCCAATCTGCAGAATATGATCACCACTTTGTAATCGGCTGTCTTTATCAGCTATTCCGCCGGGAAGAATTGATTTTATGACGACCCCCGTGCTACGCCCACCAACAATCCCAAACCCTATAAATAATAAAAAGGTTATTACTATTAATAACGTTATGAGCTCTTATTAGAGCTAAAATCTAATTTAAATAAAATTTAAGCAATAAACGTCAATGACTAGTTTTTTACAAGAGTATAAATCTATACTGCAAAGTTTCTCAAAAAAAACCTCAGCCACTAAACATACTTAAGTTTTTCACATTGTTAGAAAGATGTACTATTTAATTACGATTATTTTCACTATGACGTTCTTAAAAAAGTTTTATTAAATGGTATAGAAGAGCCTCACAAAACCACATTAATCCGTCTGTTCATACAAATATTCAAATTTGTTACTGCTAACAATAAGGAATTTGTTTGTCAATTATTCCGAAATTATACACTATAGGTCAGTTATAAATTTTATTATATTTAAAAATCAGTAAGAGATTCGGAACATAAGAAGTGTAAACTAATAAATATATCGTTAATTTTAATATTTTTGATACATTTAGCAAAATTCAGTGGAAACTGAAAATTAATAACTTTCGATTCCAAAGTATGAAATATCGTGCATTAATAATTCGTATATCTTTATTTTAAATTAATGTCTCTTTGATTCGCAATGTTTACTGATAAGTAAAAACCAAATTATTAATAACAATTACTTTTTTCACATTTTCTCTCGTAGAAGGCCAAATGATGCACATTTACTAAGTTTCAATGGAGGAGCTAAAAAATTAGTTGAACATTATAATAAGTATTTTCTTTTAGGTAAAACAAAGTTTTGTAAAATCTGGAAAGTTACTTATTGAGAATAAAATCGCCATTGAGTAAAATAAAAGACCACAGAAATTAAGTGATTCGAGTTTAAAATTTAGTTTAATGAAGAGAATTTGTTTTTGATGAAACTTCCTCCCGATAACTGAAAAAGTTTTCCAATTGTTTAATTCTGAAACCTTTAAATATTAAAATTAAGGTTGTTTAAATCTTTGCTTGTACATCCCAAGAAATAGTTAAGCTTCAAAAAAATGCTAAATTATGATTTAAAGTTTTGTAAATAGAGTACGACTTCTATCTTTGGGGCCTCAAAGGGGCCACTTAACTGCATAACATGACAGCAGAATTTCGAAGCAAGTAGAATCATAGTTCGAATATCTAGGTCTGTTCAGACTAATTTTGTTCTTGAAAAGTTTATTTTTCTTATTACAACTTTTCCTAGCCGTGAAAAGTATGTTTGAATCAATATTTAGTAACACTTCGGTTTCAAGTGTCACTAAATATTGTTTACAAAGCATTATTTTTTTCAGTATTATTAACAAAGCATTATGCAAAGATAATTTACATAAACACATTAATACACACATTTTAAATTCAGTTGTTTCAAATAAAGTCATCTAATAATTAATTTTAAAAGTCACATTTTAACTATCTTCTTTTTCTTTCGAATTTGCTGTTGCTAACGCGGGTACCATTTTCCACACAATCTTTTCTCTTTATTTGAAATATTAGGACATAGCAATTATGTACTGAAAACTATTTATAGTTCTTCGAAAGCTTCTTCATTTATTTTGAAGTAGTTTGCAAAAAATTAGCGTGGAAGTGAAAAATTTTATGATTTGTCGCATTTAAATTTGAAATATTTTGTGCATTATTTCTCTATGACTTTATTTGTAAATGTTTGATTTTCGAAACTAATACATATAAATCATCTGAAGAATACATTCAATTTTTTTAAATTTTGTGTTTTAATATCATACACGGCATTGGAGGTTTAACAAATGCTTTTTACTTAATTTCTGGGGCATTTATTGGCTGCACCTGTATATTCTGAAATGTCAGCTGAGAAGCTAAGTTTTAGGTAGTAAGTTTGTGCAATTACTGCAAACATTTTCCCTTACTATCTACTTTCCCTAAATCTAACTAAAATAAAAGCAAATGCTACGATTATTTTTTTCTTATATGTGAACGGAAATGTGCGACGTACTCAGTTCCTGTCCGGGGGAGACATCATAATAAAGTCCTAATTGCAAACTTTAGAGTTCATATATATTGTATAACTTTTTACCATTTTAGGACCTACGTACTAAACATGCAATTGAACAGCGATAGTCTCAAAACTTACCTAATCCTGAACCATCATTAACCAGATCAATAACTTCCACCTGAGACCACTCTGTGCTCAAAACCATTGTTTGCTCCCTCAAAAACCATTTCTTACTACATTGATTTTAAATTTGGCGCTTTTCCAATTGTTTAACAAGGTCTAACTGTCGGTATATCGATTTAACAGTAGCCTAAATTTCTTCGAATTTCGAATTATTGCCAATTACTTTGTTTTATTGACCGATAAAAGCACATTTTCAGTACAAATAATTGGAAAAATTTTGAAAATCGACAATTCATTCCGCTAGTTGGAAGGCGAATAAACCATCGGGGTTTAACCAGTTTAAGTGTAAAAATTCACCCGCACTACTGTTTAGTGTTCTAGGGTTGTGGATTTCGACATATTTGGGGTGAATCGTTTCTCAGGCCTGCGCTTAGTGAAAAAGAGAAAAACATAGCAAAATTCTATGTGTAGAAGTACAGAAGAGATACGAAGTAATGTCGAATCCCGCCATCGAATTGATTCGGTTTCCCTTTCTTTTAGAGTGATTTAATTACGAACGCATATTAAGCAGGGTAGGGCCGCCCCCTAACAAAGGGATGAAAAATACTTCTTCATTTACGCAGAGCCAATTAGCGCTATAGAAGCCTAATTAATCATTAATGTTTCTAAGGCGTGGTTTCTTTGTACTAGTTTTAGCGAATAGCCATTAGCAATGAATTAAAATGCTGTTCTATTATTATACACTGTATTAATGTAAAATTAATAGGTTTTATTATACTGCAAAGTATTGTTGGTGCAATGAATGCTTTGATTTATTTGGCTTGTAAGGGCGGTAAGAAGGAACGAAGCAGTTTCAATGGTCCATGGCTTATACGCCCGGAAAACTTTTCAATCGATGCAAGTTTATTATTATTACTAAATTAAAGATTAAGTAGCAAGAAATTACTGAGTTGAAGCATTCAGTATTTTTGCGTAACAACTAACAATAGCTGAGATAAGCCAAAGACGGGAGCAAAGGAAGGTAGAACAAACATAAATTTCAAGTGTTTGAAATTAACACAATAATGAATTTGAGCACCAAATTTAAAACGCGAAAAGTTAATATAATAAAGAAAGAGGGTTATTTAAAACGGCATGTTTCTTGCCTTATGTTACGAAATACAACTACGCGCAAGAGAAATCCCTGGATAGCAAAAAATGTAAAAGTGGAAAATAGGTTTTATGGGGTTTGGGCTGTCAGAAATTGTTTCAACCCCCTAGCAACATTTTGCTTCAGCTTTAAAGCGAAGTAGCCATTCGATTCTRTGCAAAATTTMAACTATTCTTTGTAAAATATTGCATTGCACTTGCTTAACAAAGTTTCAATTTATTTGTTTATWAAGTTTTGCTAAACGAATCGTGCTTTCTAAGTTAATACACTAAACATTTCAGTGTATTAMATTTTTCGAATAAACCAGTTTTTTTGCAGGAGCTTAGACTAGTAATGCACTAATAGCAGTAAATTCAGCAGATTTAATAAATTACTCAATTTTACTTATTATTAACTATAAGGYATACTAAAGTATATATTTTTGACCGATGCTCGAATAATTGAAAAATGTRTTTCCTCTGTAGATAGACCGAATCCCCAATAAAGAAACACTATCAGTTATTATTTATAGCTGTAAAATAAGAACAAAACCAATGTTACAAAAAATRGTCAAAATATTTTCTCCCAAGTGCGATGCATTTTTAATATTTGTGTTTAATAATTGTGGATTGTCTTGTTCATTCAGAAATGTAAGCCATATCTAAATCTCTATTTCAGCTCCTTAATTTTTTAGTTTTAACATCATGTAATGTATACAGAAAATTTTGTATAGATACTTACTTAGTTATGACATTGAAGAAAAATGTATAATTTTTGTTAAGTTGGTTTTTGTTAAGTTCCTAAAGCAAATAAGAAAATAAGTAAATCATAATTTTGAAATGAATCCACTTGGAAAGTCATGATAAATCAGAACTTATTTTGTTATTTACCAATTTATTTACAAAACCAATTTTGCTGCTGTATTTTAGTTTATGCTTGATGCATTGAAAGCTTTGTCTGTTAAAATTCTGATATTTTCGTATCAGTATTTCACTAACTGTTGTGAAAGGTCTCTTAAAATTTAATAAATTAATAATTTGTCGGTTTTTATGAAATTAAAAATAAATTAATGCATTGAAGTAGTTTTAAACCATGTAGAAATTAAAATTGCATAAACGCACGTAATTTGTATATCGCTTTATTTAACATCAATTTTTTAAAGAAAAGTATATATTGACATAATAATAGACCACATAATGAATGTATGTATTTTATATTTATCTACCCAAGAAGTAAGTTTAATCATTGACACATAAAATATTCGGTCAAATGTGAATCGAACAAAAGCAATGGTTTACAGTTAAAATATTCAAAGAATATCGATTTGGCATTTCTACTTCATTTAAATTTTGCGTGCTTACAAGAATAATGCAAAATGCCACGAGCAGCACATTTGTATAAAACGAGAAAGGAAAAACTTCTGAAAAATGTCTCGCTATAAAAATAAAATATACATTTTTTGATTTAGGATTCTTGTATTACTTACATTTTTTGTCATTATTTAAATCATTCTGAGCTTATACGGATACAAAAAAGGATACAAAATTACTGTATACGGGGTGTAAACATTATTAATTTTTGTTTTTTACAAATTGTAGTTTCGTTTAGAACGAGAATAATCCAAATCTCGCTTCGCAGATCCTTTTCAAGACTTAAGAGAAACTCAAAAAACACTTTAAAAGCTTTATCAATTTGAACTGTTTTATTTGTTATTAGTAAATACTAACAAGAAATTTGAAAACAATCTCGAATGCATTCGATCAGATTTTAGCAATTTCTTTCAATCCATCAGTTTTAAAGAAGCAACTGTAAGTGACTAAACACTGTTTAAATGTGCGAGTCCCAGTAGTAATATTTTTTATATATTATATTAAAGACAATTTCCAACAGCCATTCAAGGTTCAGATAAAAAAAAATCCGCTCACTTTGTCAGCTGCCCAAAAATCAAATGCGGCTAAAAAAAGATAACAAAATCTAGCGGACACTGCCGAAGATGTATTAGAAAACGAAAACGAAACTCAAAAAACGAAAATCCAAATGTTGTAGATCTTCAAGAGTCGGGACCAAAAACCTGTAACTTGCCAAAGAGTACAACAACGGAATGTGAACTTTAGAAGACATTATCAAATTGCAAACAAAATATTGAGATTAAGAAAGTGCCTGCTTGGAAAAAGCTGCCTGCGGTAGAGGAAGAGCCACGTGATGAAATGAAAAGTTGGTGAAGGAGCATTTATAGAAAATGAAGATGGAACCAGAAGTAGCTAGAACTGATAAAAAATCCGCTTATAAACACAAAAAAACACAATCAAAGTTTTTTGTCTGAAGCTAAGAAGGATTCCGAATGAGAGTTTTAAACGGGTATAGAAACTGTAAATGCAAGTTCTCACTGGCTTTTAAAGTTCCATTGTTATAAAAAGCAAACAAAAATCCTTTCTTACATACGGTACATGCAGTTTCTTACATGTATTTTATAGCTCAGAAAATTTTGTGTCAATAAAGTAAAACTTCTCAGTTGGAATGAGCGATATGTCATTTTTTTCAATAATATAATTACGTATTTACAAAAATAGTTGCCATATAATTTACATCAGCATCTCATCACATTCCTATTTATAAATGCTATGCACTTTGATTCGAATTCAACGATTTTCGGGAAAATAACAAAATTAATCCGTGGCACTAAAATGGCGCGAGCTTAGAAACAAAAATAGAGTTAATGACATCAATTTTTCAAATGAGTATTTTTGGATTTAATATTTGTACCAATCGTGACGTTTTCGTTGTAGCGTTTTCCGGTCGTTTAGTGAATAAAATATTATAAATCTCAGAAAATTGTTTATTTTCTTATGACTTGTACTGTGTACATCTATGTAGAATTCTGTTGTGAAATAGAACGGCAGAAACTATTTCATCTGAAGATATAAATCAAAACTGGCACAGCTTTTACATCCTGAAGTAGAAAGCTGTGTGGGTTCGAGAGTTCTGTAATTGGTCTGGTTTTTGCAACTTAATGCATCATACTATACTAGTGATGACGCCATGGCGAATACCAATTTGCTCGTACGTTTGTGTAACTATTAATATTCTAGAAAATTTGAAAAGAAAAAAATGGTTTTCAAAATTTTTGTCGTAGGTACTCTCGAAGTAAATTTTTAGAGACAATAATTTAAGACAACATTTCATGTGTAGTGAAAACCGCATAATTTTGATGTGAACAGAGTTTTGTTTTTGCCAGTTGTTAGACGTACCTGTTCTTGCTCGTTTTCCCTATGTGAAGAAACAGGTACTTACGTAACGCTAATCAGGCCGATTATCTTGAAAACATTGATGCCGAATTTCTGATCTAGTTTTTTGCAAATATTTCAGTTTTCAATAAGAATTATGTTTTTAAACTATTTTGCCCGTACTTCCTAAACACCGCCAAACACACTTAGAGAAATGACGCCAATTTTAATTCAGTCTGTAGATAGAATAGATACATTAAAAAATATACTTACTTTCAACGATTTTATATAAGTGGAATGATTAAGAGAAAGCATAAATTTAAGGAATGGCGCTGTGATTTAAAGTAGCCACGCAGTAATAGTCACCTTAACTTTTTTTGCTTCGAAATAATTTTTTTATTCTTTAATTCGTAAACGATATGATTTAAACAAATCAAACATTTTTAAATATCCATTTTGAGCAATTTTTTGGTCAAATTCCGAATTATTTATTTAAATCGTTTCATATATGTATTTGGAGGCGATATTTTATATATTTTTATATATTTTGTATAGGCAGTTAATTTTTAAAACATTTTACCAACAACTTCGTATATTTTTCAACTGCATCAAGGAACAAAGGCTGTTGTTCGTTTTCGGACGATAATCAACGCAGTTGAAATCAATTTCAAATATAGATAGACTTGTTGACCAAGTGATCTATTCTTCATTATTTAAATTATCAATCAATTAAATTAATTTTTGTTGACACATGAGAATACGCTGATTAATGTGTCCACACATTTAAATAAGTAAATTTTCAAACGTTTTGTGAATTACGATGGGTTTTATACACAAAGATTTGATATTTAAGTAAATAATCTACTCCTACGGTACATTTTGTTCGGTTCAGAATAGAAATCATTCAGTTGATCGAAAGTGTTGCAAACTTAAGGTAATTTTAGCCCAAGCAATTGCGCTTAAAAATGAGATTCGTATTAATTAATTCACTCGCGGGCGACTTTTCGTGTCACACTGTATAAGTAAGATAAACAAATACGTTTATGTGCGTCAATCCTGTGTGAATTTTGAGTTTCTCATTCACTAATTGTCCGTGCAGTTTTACGTAGTAAATGAAACTTTTATAACTTTGAATTGTTTTAGTTGCGCATAATACCAGCAGTTGGCGCGTTTTACGTCACCAGAGTGGAAAGTGAAGGGATTTTCAGGACACAGCATTGAGCACACGCAACATCCTTCGAACAGCAGTTTTTACCGATCATCTGTGAGCTTTCATACAGGGGCATTTCTGCACAATTTTAGAAATTTATCCTTCAAAAGTTCCATTTAAATAATTGCAATTTTTTAAACAAAGAATATTTATAAAGTTCTCGAAACAAAAACCCGGAAAATGAATCAAAATCAAGCCGAAATTAAGTGTATACTGTTTGACTTGGACAACACGTTGATCGAGACACGAAAAGCAGACACGAGGGTTTGCGAAAAGGTAACCTAAATGTTTTTATTTCATTTTATTTATGACCTTTTGAAATCGATTTTAGTAAGTGATATTTATAATATTTATGGTTCTCCACTGAAAGTGGGGATGATACGTCCCTGCCTGCTCAGCTGTTCCAAAGCATCATTGCAGTGGAATCTTTTGATATTATTTATGAGGTCATTTTGTAGTGATGGGCGATTCTGCAGAGTATTGCCTATCGATACTATCACTTCCAAACATTTCTCATTTGTGCCTTAACTGCCTATTATAATAATAGGGAAATAGTTTAATTAAGATTTTGTTTAGAATCTCATTTTAAAGGGAGTGTTCACAATCGAATTTTTTGGCTTAGGATTTCCTTAGGCGAATAATTCAGTTTAAACAAATTTCCAAAACGGCTCAACATAGAAATTTTTCTGTACACGACTGGAGAAAATGTATATCTGTTGATGGTATTTTAGATTTCAGAACACGTTGAACTTTCTATAAAATATAACTTGTTTTGGTAAAATTTATAACTAAAACAATCCTACGCACTTTATAAAATTTTCTTAGTTGAGTACAAAAGAAGGAACAATTTCCGTTAGTTTCAGCAATAAAGGTACTGTTCTTCAGCAAAATTGATATTTTTAACGCGTGTACAACTGAAAAAACTTAATATCTGATAATTGTTTTTCAGTGAATAAAAAAAAAATAAAACGTTTCCCGTTTGTGGACAACTTTAGTATTTAAAATATTTAAATATTTTCAAAGTTTACAGTCGGTAATTAGCTAGTTCTAGTTCTTCTGGATCTCGATATTGAAAAGTTATTGACGTAGTAACAATTTTTCTTATTTATATTGCTTCATAAATGTTTTTACAACCACTTTTAGAGGCTCAAAATTTCAATTTCTCTCTTGTTTTTTAATTTTAATTATTGAAAATGTATTAACGGATAACCCAAACGAATAAAAAATAAGCCAAACCAAACAAAAACTCTCAAACATTTATTGAAATTCTGATGTCTTGTTGATTGCGCAGTCGACTGCGGATTGAACAAGATATCTCATAAATAAGTACCGTAAATTCAGGGGTAAATAGACCTAGACGAAATATGAAAAAATCCAATTATACATGGGTCCGCATGTTCGTTCGACGGAAACAAATAAGATATATATTTTAAAAAATATTTTATTGTTATAGATAGACCACATAAGATGTATTTTTAATTGTTCAATAAATCAGTGGTGTACAATTTTTTTTTTCAAAAGGATCCAATAACTTAGCGGAATGCACGCCACTGGTAAAAATCCAGAAAATAAAATAATTGTTAATAAGCACCTGTTACAGCTTTCACAAAAATTTATAAATCCGTTTTGAAGAAAATTATAATTTGTATTTTTCAAAGTAAAGTTTGACACCTTGTTTTTCGAAAACGAAGCTTTCGGGGGCAATGTATATACATATATTTGAATTTTTTCCATATTTGGACAAGGTCTATTTATCCGTGACTTTATGGTACTTAATTCTGAGACTCCCTGTATAACTAATGTAAATTTGTGAATTTTCCGGAATAAACGACACTAAGAAAAAGTGTTAAAGTAAAAGGATAATCTTCAGTGGATGTATCTTTTTATAATTGAAACCGCGAAGGCCGCCAACTGGATTATTACCGTAAATTCTCCAAGAAACTGTCAAACTCCCATATCAAAAAAACGAAAAAAAAACGTGTATATTGAACTTGTTTACAATTCAAACAGAAATCGAGGCCTCACAGAAATGTAGATACTTTCTATCGATATCGTTCTCACCGCCACATGTCTAGCCCGATATAAATAAAGCTAACCTCAAAATAAACGACACCGTCGTTTTTCTTGTGAGCCTTTGGAAAATGACGAGAAAGCCCGGTTTTCTCTAACATCCACGCAGTGAAGTCAACGACTGAAGTCTAAAAATACGTAAGGCGATATGCCACAGAAAAATTGCCCAATTTAGAAACTCTACAGCGAATCCCTTCTAAATATAACTTTAACATTTTCGTGGAGCGCATTTCAGTGTCTTTTAAATGTTCCCCAAGTGAAGAACGTCGGTAAATAGTACAGGAAAGTTATTTTGGAATCTAAACAGTGTTCAACTACCATGGCGGGGGAGGTGTCTGAAGCGGTAAAGAAGTGTTGTAACCTTTTGAAAAATTCGCCTGGTGATAATGAAAAATTTGCCGCACTATTCATGGTTACCAAATTGGTGAAAGGAAAACACGCCACACCGGCAGCTAGAATTGCTATCTTCGAAGCTATAGGATTCGACTTTCTTCGGCGACTGTTGCTGACTGAGGATGTTCCTGTGGACTGCCCTCCGTCCATCTACAAGTCCGTGGCTTTGAGTATTCTCACTGTCTTTTGCTCCGAAGAACAACTTGCCACCAAAAAGGAAATGCTGGATTTAATCCCTGTTTTCCTCGACATAGTAAAATCAGCGGATGACAGTGAAAACGACGATAACCTGATGGCCATTGGGGAGGCCTACAACTGTCTAAAAGGGCTGGCTCTTTATGCCCCAGGACAAAAGGCTCTGATCGATGCAGGTGCTATTGATATTCTCAGTGAAATTTATGCCAGTGCCAGCTTTCAGTCTGATGAAGCGCTGAATATTATGGGCCTGCTTGTAGCAAAGAAAGGGGCTTTATCGTGGGACCCCAAAGATCCTAAAGCTTTCCATGCCATTGTCAACAAAATTGCCTTAGATTTTGAGACTGATCAAGATAAAAGAAAGTTCGAGCTAGCTGAGTGTCTCAATGCCATCATATTCAACTGCCCTAGGAAAGTGGTCTCCGAGAGTGCCGCTATTGAGACCTGGCCGCAAAGTATCTACAAAGGTCTGACTGACATATTACAGAGCAAAGTCGGTGCTGCTCAAAGGAATCCTGCGCTAATTTTAACTTCAAGCATGTTGGATTTACTAGGGGTTGAATGGATTTTTACCGATGAAGAAAAAGGTAAACAAATATTTCTATTAATGATACAGCTAGCTGCTATCGAAGTAAGAATGCAGTTAGATGGGAAGACACTAAAAGGCACTCAAAATAATCAAAACCTTATAACTGCTTGCTATATAATTTTGGAATTGTCCTTAAATTTCATTGCTCAAGACACAATAGACATAGACCAAAAGGAACGACAAAGTATGTATACTGCTCTCAAGGGTGCTTTCACCGCTGTGATAAATCTTTTACTCAAAGTAACTCAAGAGAAAAACAAGCCTCAAGGCGAAGACAAACTTTTTGTGTGTGCTACCATCAGAGTGTTAGCTGCCTGGTTAGCCCAAGAAACTACATCGATGAGGGACCAAATCTATAAATTGTTACCCTTTATGCTGGATAATGCATTTGATAGTTTCCATGCCTATAAAGCTCGCAGAATTGCCGAAAAATCTGGACAACTTACTGATATCAATCCACTAGGCCAGGTGGATCTTCTCAGAGTGTTATTGCCGGCTCTTTGCCATTTGGCTGTAGAAGACGAATCCAGAGCAATCATTTTGAAGGCAGGCGGTGATGCAATTTTAGTGGAGTCTTTGGAGTTTCATTGGACCATAGTGAATTATAAAAGACCTCCAATTCCAAGAGCAGAAAGGCTCAAAGCCCTCAGTCAGCCAAAGCCTGAATTGACCCCAGAGGTTCTTGAAGATATGAAAGATGCAAGGCTGGCAATGATCAGTGCCTGCAACGTTTTGATGAACTTAACGGTCTTAGAAGCGAAATATGTTGAAAACAGCCCAATTTTTAATAACCTGCTTAAGTTCATTTTTGAAAACCTGCCAGAACTGAAAGATATTCCAGAAAATCTGGTCTTGCATGGAAATCTTGCTGTTCTAGGTTTGCTTCTACTTAAACAGCTGTCTTCTAAAGTAAAGAAGAACGATTTTTCGATAACTCGTTTTGTGCAGGCAACAATTCGCTTTTTATGGGATGCCTACATAATAGACGAGTCTAATGACCCAACCGCTCTAGTTGTAGCGATGTCATACAAAGAACACTGGATCGAAATGATGGAACTGTGGTTTTTGGGCATGCAGACTTTGGCTGGAATCATTGCTCAAATTCCGTGGATAAGCGATTTTATCATAGAATCTGGATGGGCAGAAGGGATTGTGCAGTTGTTGAAAAAAGTCAAGATCGGCACTCTTCCAACCAACGTAAAATCCGCCTTTGAGGACTTTCTTTGCCATCTAGTTGACGCAAATGAGAGTGTAGTGGAAGTTTTGAAAAAAGCGGAAGCTCTGCGTGTTTGTCGCAATCATCGGCTTATGGAGTTGGGAAAAAAATTGTTTGGTGATTAAAGCAGCTTTATGTATTTTGTATAACATTTTTCTAATTATTGGTCATTTTCTATGGTTGTACATATATTTGAACTTTAATTTTATTGTTTACTAATTGATCGGGCTTATATGTTGATGCGCCTGCTGTATCAAACTTGCTGTAGTTAATATGTTGTTTTATCATAAAAAGAGCAATAACATCTTTTGTTGTATTTTACGTAAGTCAAATATTTTTTGTACCCACCACATGAACCTTTTTTTAATAAACTTGTTTGATAGTAAGATTGTACTTATTTTATTTAATAAATGTAATTTGTTAAAATTCGAGCGAGTTTCATTTTGGCTTGCTGTTGGTTTTCTATTTATATGACTTAATGTATCGCGACATACTCTGTCGCATTGAGATGTTTCCAAAAATCTGTAAGCTATTTGTAAGAAGATAAATTTAGAATTGATCGGTAATGAAGGGGATCAACACTAATATTAGAGCTGTGAAAGAAATAGCTGGCGTTTAATTTAAGTGGATCCCTGAAATGCAGTTAATGCTCTAAATTATTGTGTGATTTAGGGAATTATCTTTAACTTTAATTAAGAATTTAACTTATTTTATTTGATGAGGTTCAATATTCTTTTATTTATAATATATTTAGCTTTCTTTTAGATTATTTTATTTAAAACGAATTGTGTAATTATTTATTTTCAACATAGACTCCAAAATATCACCTATTTCAGATTGCAAATGAGCTGCGAGTAAAATTCAATGTTACTCATGATGAAGCAAACTCGATATCGTCCAGTTTCTTGAGTAATTTTCGGAAATGCCCTGAGAACACTCTTATGAGCCTGGATAAGTGGAGGACGTACCTTTGGTCCCAAGCTTTGGGAGACAAATATCAACAGTATGCAAGTGAGTAAGATTAAAAAAAAATTTGTTGAGCAAAATAATGCTCATTATTGGCGATCAGTATGCTCGTATAGATTGAACAGTGCCAATTAATTGTCCTGAAATTCAACTTTAGCCTATTTATGGCGCGACCCAAACTGGCATAAGCGGGACCGGAAAGAGTACGTGAGAGTTAGAAAAATCACTTATATATTTTCCTTTTTTATTCTTCAATGTCTGTTTTTCACACAAATATGGGAAGAATAGAATGTCGAAATAATTTTGTAGTCGAAACAATTAATAATTTTTAGGAAATGTTCTTTCTGCTTTAGGAGAAAAAGAAGCTTTCAAATTTATACCTCTAAAAGTGCGTGAAATTTTAAATAGATGCATTGAAAATGGTTTAGATTGCGAAGGTTACCAGCTAAAACATTTTTTTTATTTCAATAATAATTCAATGTAAAATTAAAAAACTGGCTCAAACCATTTGAAGAATCCCACTGTTTTAAAAGGATGATCCTAAATGTTAATGAAAAAATATACACGTCCAGATTTTCTTAAAAGCTTTTGCTGGCCGGGTAAATTTCAATTTAACAGCTCTAGAGGTGTTAGTTATCTTTTGTAAAGGTAGTGAATTTCAATTAGTGGAAAGTTATTGAGAATTGAAATAGGAAACGAATAATTGTTTCATTACGAAAATGTAGAATTATTAATCTGCACCAAATGAATAGCATATTTCTCCTTTTGATATGATTTAGAATTACATGTGTTTTGTTGCGTATTCCGGCGACGGCTCGTTACATTATTGAATATGAAACAGCAAAAGCTTCGTTTTCTATTCAAATATTTAAATAGGTGCTTCGCTCATCTTTGTCTTATTATGTTCGTCTTGGCTGACTTCCACCTCTTATTACTTATATACATACATATCCAAAGAAGAAGAGAGAAAGAAGAATTCTCAGCTGAGCAATTCTTAACCTTACTATCCATGAGATTTGTCATCTTGTGTTGTAAAATCGAAGTTTTCTTAAACTTATTGTGATTGTTTCCTATTGAACAGGTCGGCATTGGGGTCGTAATCGAAGTTTTATCATCTTGACAAAGAACCCAATTTAAGCTTCTATTAGTATTCTGAAATAATATCACGCTTGGAACCGTTTTCCAGTTACTTAAAACCAATAAGCTCACAAAAAATGGGAAAAACTTCTCGAGACAAACGCGATATTTACTATCGTAAAGCTAAAGAACAAGGGTGGAGAGCTCGAAGCGCCTTCAAACTGCTTCAAATCGATGAAAAATTTCACATTTTAAGTGGCGTAACGAAAGCAGTTGATTTATGTGCTGCGCCGGGTAGTTGGTCGCAAGTTCTTTCGCGAAAGCTTTATTTGAACGAGGATATCAATATTAAGGAGCCCACTCATTTGTTCTACACTCAGAGTGTTAGTGAGGACCTTACAAGCGATGAAGACGATGCGAAATCTGATAAAAGTTTGGATGATTCCAAAAAACCCAATGAAAATGTTAAAATAGTTGCAGTTGATTTACAGGTAAGTAGATGTTTAACTGTCTAGCATACGTATATTTAAAACTTATTAATATGGACAGCCCATGTCTCCTCTCCCGGGGGTTATCCAGATTCAGGGCGATATAACAAAATATTCAACCGCAGAGGAAATAATTTCTCATTTTGAAGGTGAAAAGGCCGATCTGGTAATTTGTGATGGTGCTCCGGATGTAACTGGCCTTCATTGCATGGACATTTACATTCAGGCTCAGTTACTTTTAGGTATGATCGAAATTCCTTGCAAACAGGAGACGAATGATGGAATTTTTTTTTCACTTAGGCGCACTACATATTTCCTGTAATGTATTGAAGAACGGTGGTACTTTTGTGGCTAAAATATTTCGGGGAAAGGACAACGATTTATTAACCAATCAGCTTTTAACATTATTCCAAGAGGTGGATGTTGCCAAGCCGAGAAGTTCTCGAAACTCTAGTATCGAAGCATTTGTCGTTTGTCGGCAGTATAATCCACCCAATGGATTCGATCCCACAAAGATTACCCCGTACCTGGATGTTTCTAATAAAAATTTCGATTCCTTGGAAGGTACTTAATATTACCTAGTTGTTCATTTTTCAAAGCATATAAGTGCAAACTATTTTTAAAGTGTAGGTGTTACATCTGAATTTTAATCATTTAAATGGAAAGTTTCCAAAAAGTTTAGCCTTTCAGTCCATTTTTTTAAGAAGCTTTAGTTATTCAGGGTGTTTGTTAAGGCGATGCATTTTTGGTATAGTTTTCTATCTACAAATTATAATTAAAATAAAACAATGTTTATTAATATTGCGGAAAACCTTTGGCATATTTGAATAACTTTTAGTCAGTAGAAATTTATGATTATCGTGTATAGCAATAACGATTCGTTTTTCAACACTCATAAACTGATGTCTTGATGTTCATTATCACCCCTAAACGTTTTTTGATATATTTCTAGAACACTCTGTTTATTAAAAATTGCATGTCCTATCTCGAGGAGAGAACGCGTCGACTTACCAAGCTTTGCGCATATTAACGGTTTGATATACAAATTCGAATTTCAACTGTTAATATCTACTAGAAATTATAAAAAATGACGCCAGTTTTGAATCACCCTGTAGATATAAACATTTTGAGATAGAAATTCTAATTGTCGTTCAAAATATGGTGTTTCTAGGTATAAATCGAGTAATTATTCCATTTATTGTCTGCGGAGATGTTAGTGCTTATGACTCAGATACTACTTACCCTTTGCAACTGGAAGGTGAGGCTCCATATAAGTATACACCACCTGTACAACCTCCGATAGCTCCTCCGTATAGTTTCAAATCAGAGCAGCCCAACAAAACTGATATGAATACTTTATTCAAATATGCAACTGATCTTTCAAAGCCATTTGAATCGGAATTACTACCAGATTTGGAATATTTAAATGATAGTATCGATAAATTAATTTTTACTGATACTATTATGAGTGGTATGTTTTAATTAGTCGATAGTCTGAAGGGCAATCTTAGGTACCTTAGTGCTTTATTTCTAGATGAGGACGACTTGCCGGACGATTTTTGCAAAGATGACGAGGAAGCAAGGGCGGCGTTTGCCCACGGTCCTTATTACGATATTATTAAGAAAGTTGACAAAATACGAAACGCGGACTCAGACGAAGATTTTGATGAATCTAATGATGATGAACGTAAACGTTTGCCAGTGATAAAAATCTTGTGCGAGGAGGAACCTCCCGATGTTGGGACTGTTCACGCTATTTTGAATCACATCCAGGAAGGAGGAAAGCTCAGAACTGCACCAACATGCTACTGTTCTGAATAGAATAGTGTTCGCGATTTTCCATTTTCAGAACTTTACACGTTGCTGGATATTATTCAGTAAAACACGCATTGAGTGTGTATAGGGTTCAATGCTTTGCTCTTGAATCACACCTCGTTTACAAAAGTTTATTCCACTGAATTTTTATCCAGTGTTTACGTGGACTTTCCCTCTTGTTGATGGAATTATTTACCTCCATAGTTAGATTACATAGTCTTTATACGGCATTGACCGTTGATACTATCTATCGGTATCCTTACTTTTATTATCCGACTCCGACTTCTGAAATGACGCTTAATTATCTAATATGGAAATGAAAATAAATATTCTGTTTTTAGTTTATTTGGTTTTTTATTTTTGCATTTTTGTGCTCAGGCTATGGAGTTTCGAAGAAGATTATATTGTTATCTTCTCCACCTCTAAGTGCCACTACTAAATGCAATACTGTTCCCGCTTTCAGTTTATAGCTGTTTACGGTTTTATCGTCTTTCAATTGCTTCCCCTGAAACACCAGTCTCTGCTGCTGGGGTGGTATACCCTCTTTTTCCTCTAACTTTTCTTTTAGAACTGCAATAAAAATACGTTTTAAACGTTTATCAATATCCGGGAGCTTACTCCTTTGCTTGCTGCTTGCTGAGCATGTAATTTAATGACTTTAATGAATACATGCCTAATATTTTGTCGGACGGTTCTACATCGATCATTCGTTCATCTCCAGTTAAGGTGACGACTTTTATTATCATTGAGTTATGGAATATAACTAACGTCGGAGTTATTCATTGGTATCGCTTCACTAGTGATTTGGAACATGAGAATTCTCTTGTTCAGGTATTTAAAGTTGTCATTATCTGTTTGACATTGCATGAATAAGCAGGTGTTTGTCTCTAAGATGCAAAATGCTTTAGAAATATCTATTTTTGTATAAAGCGGGATAGTTTTAATTTATTTTATTTTCATCAGAAAATTATTAAATTACATGCCGTTTTAAACTTTTAACATTTTAAGTTAAGTTCTTTGTTCTGCTTATGTAGTTAAAATAAAACCTGACCTGCATGCGATGAAATCAGGTAGTAAGTAAAATAATCCTTCAGATTTTGACGCATTTTTCATTCATCCAAATTTATGGACCCGTTTTGCAAAATTTTCGTGAATATAACTATCCAAGACAATCCCAAAATAATTTAATTTATAGCTTTCTAATACTTAAAATCTATTTAAATGATTCTAAGAATTAGACCACTCGTGGGTAAGTTGGCTAACAGTAAGTAATGCTTGATGTTGTACGTTTCAACCGAGATTTTCGGCAGGCGAAGAAAAAATAATCGAAATAGAACCCACAGATCAAATTGGAACCGTAAAAGAAAAGTTACAAGAAGCAGAAGGCACGTCTGTCGACCAGCAGAGGTTGATCTATCAAGGAAAATTTCTAAAAAACGAAAAAACAGTAGAAAGTTATCATTTAAAAAATGGGGCTATGCTTCAAATGGTGAAGGCTTTGCGAAGCAAATAGTTTTTTTAAGTATTTAAAATGAACGGAATTTCACGCGGAAGGAATCTCAAGAAACCCAATTCTAAAGTTCGGTACAAATCAGCTACACTTGTTTAGCATATTTGCCTATCGCTCATGTTCTGGGTCATTTTGATGATTATCTATTGCTACTATTTTTGGTTCGCTCAGGACAAAGAACAATGACAAGAAATAAAAAATAAGGGCATTGAATAAATGACAAATTGTCTAATAAAAACAAATAATGTTTTATTTAAGGAATAGTGTATTATTCAAATATTTTTTAATGTTGCGCATTCACCAACCTGTCCAATGTGTATGGATAGGGGAATAGTTCCCATTAAGGCACTCAATTTGCAGAGTTACTTTTCATTCACAATTCAAGCAATTGGAAGGAAGGCTGTTTTTTTGATAAAAAAAACATTAGCACTCCATTTTGACCGCCGCTGTTTAAGCTGATAATTATATAAAAGTACCTCTTAAACGGCGCATGCAGTTTCGAAAATTTTGTTAATACCTATTATAAAAAGCAGAACATTTTTGGCAAGTATTTTATTAAGCAAACTACCATTAGTTTTACATTAAAACAGCATGCTTCGATATTGCATATTAATATTATGTTATCTTCTTAACGTACGAAAGGCCTAAGGGTAATCAATAATGGTCATTAATTATTAAAATCAAAAAGTTCTTAGTCATTCCCCAGATTGCTCGGAAATGCTCATATAAAACTTTGAGAAATGTTTCCTATTATAGAAACATTCAGTCCCATATATAATTTCCCATGGTTCTTTGTCTCAGAATCGTTGTACCAGAATTGGCTGTATCAACGTTACCAGAATCTGGCGATGCCAGATGAATTGAAGTCGTTACTGGAAACTCTACGTATGAAATTCCGTATAGCCCTTATCACAAACGGTACATCTGCTTGTCAATGGGAGAAAATCGAAAAATTGCATTTAAAAGACTGCTTTGATCTCATTTTAGTCTCAGGTGAGTTGTAAATATATATTTTGTTTCTGAGTAGTCTGTAGATATCATGTTTCAATAATAATTTCTGATAAATTCTGTATATACTAAAATTCAATACAGGAACATTCCGAAAAGGAGGCGAGTCAAGAACCTTTCAAACATGAACATGATATCAAGTTTTCCATTTTAGCGTTTCAAAAAGCCATTTTTCGCACGAATCAGGTACTATTCTATTCTAAACGCTTGCTGGTTTCTGTAAACTCGGGTTGTTTATTGTAGTTTTATTATTTTTAGGTGATCTGTCTTATGAGAAGCCAGATAAGCATATCTTCTTTCAAGCTTGTGAGTTGTTGAACGTCAAACCGAAGAACTGTTTAATGGTGGGTGACAAACTAGAAACTGATATACAGGGTGGTTTTGATGCAGGTCTCTCTGCGACTGTATGGATTTCAAGAAACACGCATTATTATTTAACGGAAACTGATCCCAAACCAGATTATATATTGAGCAATATCATGGAATTCAAGTATTTAATCGCGAATCTTTTGGACATGGAGAATATGAGGGATGCGGCAAAAAAGTTGCAAGATTGTTCACTTTATTGTGATGATGATTCTGCCTGTGCTGGTCCATCATTTTCCGATCATCATAAGCGGATGTTCTCTAACGTGTTTACTCTAGATGAAGATTCCAATTCTAATGCGAGTGATGGCAGCTGATGGCTGGTAATGGTGATAGTCAATGCCAGCGGAAGTTTCCGATTTTTCAGGGCTTCTAGCTGATAACAGTTGCGGGTTGTGGTGTGCATGCTCAAATACTTTTCCTATTTATATTATACCGAAGTACAATGTTACTAAGTACAAACGTTAGTATAAGTACTTTATAATTTGGACGCGATGAATTTAATTTCGAATAAGTCAAATCGCACTGGTTCAGATATTTAGCCCAAAAAATAATTGTAACTATTGTGCATCATTAGAGTCTTTCTTTTTTAAACGTTCAGTTAGTGTGAATCTCGAAGGTCATCTTCTGTTAACTAAAAAGTGGTCCCTAAGACTTTCTGGACCCCATATTTTGGTGGAAATGGCAGTTGCAATAATGTTTTCCAAGGTTACTGGACCTTTTATGCAAAGTATACAGTTGCCTTATTTAGATCATTTATGAACTGTTAATAAAAAACAATGCGGAAATCAATATGTTCCTAGCTGTATAGTATTAAGGCAACTGATTAATAATATATTGTTAGTTGTTTGATAAATTTTCTGAATGTACATAATACTGTTATGGATAAAAAAGCAATGTTAAACAACAAGAAATGTTACTACCGGTATATGTCTCTTAATTTGTACTTTTCGCAAGGGAGCTGAAAGGTTTCTCAAGAAAATGTAAATATTCCAATAACACGCCCGAAATAATTGTGTTGAAATTCCGGAAGCCGGAGCAAGCAAAGGGTTTAATACTAAGAACAACCCTACTTATTGTTTAAATAATTCAGAATTTTATATATTTTTACTACTGATAATATTAAGTACTGAATATTTCAGAACCCGTCCTGTAGTTGTATTTATTTGATTTATACAGTAAGTATAAGTATGACTCAACGTCAGTTTTCTCGATTAAAAGCCATATTAAAAAAATTATCTCGGTTATGTCTTTGTGAATTTGTGCATTTTTGAATGATAAATCGAGTATGATTAATTCTGGGTCTCTATAAAATTGTGTTACAATTATTTTGGTGTTATTTGCTCTGTATTTTGTTTCTCTACTATAAACTGTAAACATATTTTATCTAGTGTTCTTCAACAGTTTAAAATTTATCTGCAATTCAATTATAAGCTAAAAAGTAATGGCTGATTTATTTATTATCTAATTGTGTTTAAATTGAAAAACTACTACTTTTCTTTGCGATAAGACATATTTGAAATGTGTTACATAAACATTTAATGTAGAGCAAAAAGCAGTTAAATACAGTATGCCATCCAGAAAATTAAACTATCTTCGGTTCTGGATTTTTTAGTAAGAAATCTATATTATTATTTATCATAAGGATCGCGCATATTTGAATACAACAGAAACACAAAAAATCAATCTACTTCATCATATAAATAACAAGCATCATAAATCTGCTGTTTGGGTTAGTACAATACAAACTTTCAATCGCTTCGATGGCTTCAATCTCATTGTGCAGTCTTCGATAATCCTCGAATACTTAGGATTCCATTTCCACAAATTAACGCAGTATTTTAGTTGTTTTGTGCAATTTTCCGATTTCCCCTCTAAGTAATTGCTCTATTTGCTGGTTAATACAAGTGCTTAAATATTTTAAATTGGAGTAAAAAAATAATTAATATTTCTATTCGCATTAGAAGAAATTTGGTTACGTTGATACTTTAGGGCATTTAGTTTAGAAACAATTTTTCAATAATACATTCAAAGTACAATAATTTAAATGCATCTGATTTTGAATCTTTTAGTTGTTATTCCAATCTTTGCACCGATCTGATTTACTTATCGCTGCTAAATAAGCTAAATCGAAAAAAAAAAAGAATGTGTTTTGTTAGAAAGTACTGTTATATTAGCGTTACTCAAATTATATATGAATAAATATATTTTAGGTAATATATGTGGCTTCAGTTAATTTCCTCATACTTCCTTATATAGGTACCGTTTTCCGTTTTCAATTAACTGTAACTTTAAAATAATGCTCAATCAATTATAGGGAAGAATGAGTTAATAGGTTCTCTAGAAAAACCGTTTAAAACACTACAGAAAAATAAATATGCTCATCGAATGGCCTAAACTCACTCAAAACACTGCGTTCTTTCCAGGTCTGATCTGGATGCGAAAGAATAAATAATAACTACATCATTTGAGCAATTAACTTGTATTGTCTTATGAGTATATTACAAAGTATTTAAGTCATAGGGGCGAATTTATTAGTAAGTACTATGTAAAACCTATACATAGCTAGACTAAAACCGTTACGTACTACAAATATTAGCACTCACCATTTGGCCTAAGTATGGCAAATCTTTACAACATATACAATATTAAAGTTCTAGTATGTTTTATAACATTTCTTCTAATTGATACAGCCATTTTTATAATAAAATAACTCGTATTCTCAAATATGTCTTTTCAACTACATGTTTATTCATATAAAAAAATCAAACAGCATATAAACTGACTACTAATAAACTGAGCTAGAGGGAGTGTTCACACAATGTGTAAATGAACAAAAAACGAGCTTTGCTAGAGTATTCTACATGCATTTTTTAAGACGTTTTTCTTCTTTTTATGCTTGTGGGGTTTCAAAACTATCGTCCCATTGTGGTTTTTGGATGAATGACTAGGGCTAAAAGCACCTGAAAATAAATACATTCATTTTTTAAATAGTTTTTTGTTGTTCCACAATGTGTATTGTATGTTGAAGAAAAGTGATAATGTTTCCTTGCGTGTTGGTACCGCTCAATAATATGCTCAAGTTGGGAAACGTTTCAAGCTCAAATGTTGATAGACCAAGCAGAGTAAAAAATAGTGTTTTAAGTGAAGAATCTGAACTTACTTATACTGAGGGCGTTGTGGTGCATCGCGGGCTGGCGTATAGAAAAGTAGTCTCCAGGAATGGCGCAGTCGTCTTCCCGAGGGTCGCGAAGTTCAGCAAGACAACGTTGAGCAAGATGCCGGAACACAGCAGACACGTTTACATCTTCCTTAACTGAAGTTCGAACAAGTCTGCAACCCAGAGCTCGAGCCAGAAGTTCAGCTTCCTCTCTATCAAGATGGAAGAAAATGCTTTAGTTTAGCTTACAAGGTATTTGGCAGTCGATTATACACACGGAGAGAGTTTGTATACGTTTGTATACGTTACTATTATTGACATGATGAGAGACTCTGGTGATTGCCCAAGAAAAGGCCAAAGATAATTGAAAAATATGATGACTAAAAAGCAATCCAAACTTTGCGGATTATTTAGTCGTTTTGGTAATGCGCCCGGAATTTTATTTTTACTTAATTGTTCTGTTTTTTTTAATGTAAATTATTTAAATATTTGACTTTTGGCCTCTTGTTAAAGGTAGAAACGCGCTCCAATTTAAAGCTGTTATTCGTTTATACTAAATTGTTATTTTTTCAAACCGTGTCATTTTTTTGCAGAATTTAAATGATAATGTAAGTTCAACATTTAGAAAAATAAATATACAAGTACAGAAAGCTGCGCTAATCTCAGATAATGCTAAATTAATGAGAGTTCTTTTTAATTTGTTAGTAAATAATGTTTTAAGCCCATTTTGTAACAAGTTGTTAGAAATATGTTCTTCTGAATTTTCCATTAATTTTCTGAAGTCTCGCAATATTTGATAGTCTGACGTCCAGTTGTCAATTTGCCGCAATATAATTTATCGGTCTCCAAAAAACAGATAAAAGTTCTATGAAAAACTTCTGGTAAAAGCAAAAAATTAGTGAATCTTAAAGTTGCAGTGATTTAGAACTGGAAATGGATGGAATCTCAATTGAACGTAGAGAGGTGCGCAAACTAAAAATAAAGAAAAAGTTAAACAAAGGCTTTATCAAAGTGAGTAAATACCAACGCTTACATCTCGAGCTTTTTCAATAGCAAGGAGCGTTCTTTTATATATTAAATCTTTAAAAACCTTCAATTAGTTCAAGCAATACAAAATGTTAGAAAAACCCTAGTTTAAAAAATTCGGACGTTTGAGAAAATAAACACTTGACGGTTTTTATCAGTTTGTGAATTGTGTGGACTTCTTGTGTATCGCATTTTCGAGTTTTTAAGAACTTTGTGACGATAGGAATGAACTAACTATTTTAGGACAGACTTGAATATATTTTATTTTCTCTTCATGCCATATATTAAAAACTATTTTATTTCTTTCTCTAACAACACTAGATTATCACATTTTAATTCGTGTTTTCCGTTCTTATGTTCGCGATTAACTTGATTGGTTTGACAAGTTTTCATCCTATATTTTATCCCTAAAGACGAAAACAAACTCTCTGCGAGAGCTCGAAACTTAACTCAAGAGCTTATAGTCTAAAAATCACCTAAACCGAACAACAACAGGTCTAATGAATTTTGAAATTAATTAACCAATGAGTTTTTCAAACATTTGCATCAAAAATATTTCTAAATTAGAGTTTAAAAAAATCTATCTAGACTAGTGGTTAGGTTAGTGGTGTAGGTACCTAAACATTTTTCTTCCGTTATGTTTAGAAAAATATTTTGCTTACATTGCAAAATTTATTTGCTAAAAACTTTCTACGATATGCATAAATCAAATAGCCTTATCGCAAAGTAATTAATTGTTTTTCTGCTGAAAAAAAACCGCAAAATCAATCAATTCAGTAAGGTAAAATTTATTTTTTATCAAACCTTATTTCGTCTGGTAGGTAGCAATTGTTCGGTCATAAATTGCAAGCGTTAGTCGAATCAATACGTTTTCATCCAACAAATGTGTAATTTAAGCATACTTAAGATACTATTATAGCAGGCGGTGAACAGCTTTCCAAAAATATGTTAATTTATAAGTTTGAAAATCGGATTTTAGAATGAATATTTCGAATGAGATGAGCATATCATTGGTGATTTGACATAATTTTGTATAATTAATTATTAATAGGTATTTAATAAAAATAAAACCATTGGTTTCAGCCAGCCACATTTTAGATTTTATCTGGGTTAATAACTTATTATTCACTATTAATGAATCCGTTTTTTAGCATAAATGTTGAAACGGTTTCATAAAATTTCAAAAAAAGTTATTCTACATTAACTGATTTTTATTGAAATTTATTGATACCTATGTAATATTTAGTCATAATTTCAAAATTATTTCAAGTACTTACGGATTGACTACACTTTGTTCCAAAAGGTCAATTTTGTTCTGGACAATCACTGTGGGAATTTCTCCGCATTCATTTTCCACCTGAAAAATCCAAATATTGTACCTAACAAGATTTTGTGCTAAAATATTATTCAGCGATAGTTTGTTTGGTGTCATACATTAATAAATCTACTGCAAAAAGCATTTAAGCAGCTGGGATATGTTTTGAACAGCTAATTAAGGTTTATTAGTTACCCAAATCACCTTGTTTAATTTTTGATTAATTCATTGAAACAATATATGAGTTTTTTCACCTCGACAATAGTGTGGTTGACTGCCTACTATTTAGTGGTGCCAAAACATTTAATAAGATAATTGTATTTATTCATTCTGGAAATGGTTATTTTCATTAATATATCAGTAAGTTCCAGTGCTTTGGTGTTCCTGTTTCCATTTGTTGTTAAGTTATTTTCTTAAATAATATAATTCAACAACACAGTAAGATTTAAAAACTATACTGTTTAGACGATTATTTATCATTAAATTAATGTTTATTGTTAGTTGGCGATGGTAATTGATCAAGAGTTTTTAGACTCCAATTAGTGGATTTGTAAATGTTATAAACTTGAGGTTTTTCTTGTCCTCTTGAATAGTTGCGCTCTAAAGGCGTGAAACTAAAAAACACCAAGTAGGCATTAATAAATTAATTAATTATAAAACGATTCTCGAGCAAAAAAGCGAACATGTATAATACAATTATTCTCAAATACGAGATATTTGAACTAGCCTATACATAAATTTTCTTGGATGGCTACGCTACACATGCGACCACGTTCCGGAACATTGCTTACAACGCGCAATGCTCTCAGAATGAAGTAGCTAATTGTGGGATAACAAAGGAAAATTATCATAAGTTGGCTGATTAGAAAGAGCTGAGTTAGCACCAAAAGTTATGACCTCCTAGCGCATAATACAGATTGCCCGCAATGGGTTTATAAATTTTTTTCATACCCAACGAWCAACCTAGTGTTGGATGGRTTTTAAAAAGTTGCCTGTACGTTAGAAGGCAAGCCTTATATGGCAAAATTCATAAAGACAAATTATAGTGGAGTTCAACATTGAATCTCGAAATGTCCCCATTATCGTTTGATGCTAAATGTGCGAACAATGCGAACAAAMATTCAGTTTTAATGATATAATTGAACTTCTAAAAACCCAGTTCAAGCCWGRKTACATTATTCGTGATTACACATTCAGAATATTTTTTATTGAAATACCTTAAGTTTCCAGGAATGTGCTGCTTCAAATGAATCTCTATCCGTTGTGGAAAATGCAAGCACGCAAGCTTGTGCACCTCGATAGTAAGCCTTAGTAATGGCATCGAATTCCTCCTGTCCTGCTGTGTCCCACAACATAAGTCGAACATCTTCACCATCAACTCTAAAATATCGAATAACAGTTACAGAAGAATGTACACTTTTGTGCAATTTTGAGTCGGTAGAGATTACTTTTTACAAATTTTCATCCAATTCGGACCCACCGGAAAGGAAGCAGAGGGTGCGAAAAACTGGGGTCGTACAGAGTCTCGTTTGAAAGATCTTTTGAATCTTGTTTCAGCAGTTGAGAAAAAATATTCTTTAAAATGTTACTAAATTGCCAATTGTAAGTGGAATGTTTTGTCAAATTTGCAAATTGAGAAAATTAATAGTAAAATAATAACAGAAGTTGCATTAATTGAAAAGATGCGCAAGTTATTCCCCACCAGAAATGCAAGTGTTGTTTTAAAAGAGTTCTAACATTTTTGAGGATCGAAAGGAAAACTTGGTCTACGTCTCTCTATTTCTCTACCCAATCGATTATTTTGAATACTTTCTGTTCAATAACTCCTTAACGCGTCTTGTATGAGGTTGAGGAGCTCCAGCTTATTGGCGCGCTGCTCTGTCCATTATTATCCCTAATTTTCAATAATGTAAATAAGTAAGGGATAATCTACAGTAGAGTAGAAATATTATTTCCAGTTTAATTTTCGAAGGGTTTGAGCGTGGACAGCGAAAACAATTCCGTGATTGTTATCAGCCCAATAGCGATAATTATGACGATTGAGGCGAATTAAAAAAAAAGGCCAAAAAAATATCAGTTAGCAGCCACCTGCGAAGACTTAACATGGCAAACTTTCTCCTGCTGATCAAACTCATGTTCATTTAATTGTTGCATGCATATAGACCAATCGTGTACGGATGAAATTTGCCATGTTCGAATGTCCGTTGATTAGTTTTTCTGGCGATTTCAAAAATTTGCTCGTGCTTCAAGTTGGGTCTGCAGCTATATGCCCTAAGATTTCAGTATCGCCAGCCTCATTTCTAACTCGAGATGCACATGCATTACCCAACGATTCCATTTGTTGGCAATTTAATCACATTTGTTGCAGTATTTTTTTCTCAAATAATTCTAAAACTGCCGAACCTAGTTAGTCATCCCTTGAATATACAGTTTACATATCTGAGCATTTTTCGAACATGCATTTCTAGGTATTTCAAAATGGCGTGTTTTCTTTTCCGATAAACCACCCTGTATTGAAAAGTAAAGAATAATCTTGTGAGATTTTCTCACTACGAGCATCATAAAACATCCAACTTTTCGAATAGTTTCATATAACATCACTTCTTTAAGTTCACTAGTTTCCTTATGACAATAAAAGTTGCCAAATTTACGTATTTGCTGGAAAATGTGTATTTTGTATTTATGTATTTTAAACTTAATCAAAAACATGTTTACGAATTGAAGCTTATTCGCTCAATGAAACTCAGACGAATGAACAACCTAACTTTCCACAAACCAAAAAATGTTATTTCTAATTCTTTAATTTTTTCGTTTAGTGTTTTTGTCAGTCGTACGTTTCGAATTCCAACAAACTGTGACTAATTAAGACTAATTTAAACTTGCACAAACGAAGAAGTTTAGTTTAACATTTTTTTAAACGTTTTTCTACTAGACTTCATGAACAGTTTTTTTCGAATTACTTTCCAAGTTATCTTTTTTTTTCTTATGTTAATGTTTCCTGGTTGTAAATTAATTTAAACGCCAAATACATTCAATGTTTTATAACTTTCATACCATCACGAACTTAACAATTCTAGCCGCAGCCTAATCGAATCGTGGTTTGTCGATATTATACCACCATTAAATCGTGTTGAAAAAGGAAAAAACATGCGCTTTTTTATATTAATAAATAATTATAGGTGTTTTTTTTTAAATGGTCTGTTACAGTTGAAATTAAAAATTATTTTTTTCTCTTTTATCATCTTTATTTTGAGAGAGCACCTACTTTAGTATTTTTGCATAAGCATTCTCTAAGAATTGTTTTAGGATTACGATTCCGCATTGTAATCATTAATGTATATTTATTTATTTTGTTATGTATTTTATTCCCTGTGAAATACATTTAAAATAACGCAAAAGTTGTCTGGGTGAATTCACCAACTCAAATCCATTGAAGTTAAAATGCAAATGCTAGGAAAATGTGGAAATCCGGTGTTCCAAATGTTTTTGGAATTTATCAACGTTTTAACAAAAGAGTCATCTTTAACAGCGGCCTATAAGCCCAAAAAACTCACCAGTTTTAAGGCATATATAAATAAGGAATTGAACAGAGGGCAGGAAGTTTGGATGTATGAAACGATAAAGCTTTGAATTTGCACTTTATGCTCTAGTTATTTCGTCATTCATTGAAAGTCAGATCACGAACTCACGATTTCCACACAAAGAATTTAATAGGGACAAAATATGTTATCTTTAATTGATTTTTCAATAGTAGATTTCGTGTTCACCCCAACTCAGGAAATAGGTATATGTATCTATTTATGTACATTTAATTAAATTTTAATTGAAAAATATTCTGTTGTGTCGTTACACACATTTATGCGTATGATATTCTAAATATAAATTGAGTTAGTTATTTTCTAAAACTAGCATTTGTAAGTAATATTTTTCAACGACATTTCAATTATTTGGAGTGGCGTAAAAATTCAGATATTTACGAAAATATTGTCGAGGTTGTCTGCTTACATGCCGCCGTCATAAAGAAAACTTGTGATTAATTAGCTTAAAAAACATATAGTTTTTTTAGAACTACTCATTACCTTTAAACACGCATAAAAACAGATTGAAATAGATAAAAATCCTTATTTTTAACGGAAAATCTTAGCAACCCAATCGGTCTATCTGCTTTTCATAAATAGGTTTTAACCCAGAGTAAGTCTACTTTTGAAGTCCTATTTTTTTAGCTTTTATAAAAGCATCCTAAAATGAAAAGCAATTTTATGTAAAGAACTTAGAAAAGGAGTTCAACCTACATGGATACATATAAACTGATTACTATTTAAAGAACAATAAAGTGGATCACTTCTCGGCGGCAGTCAAGGAAGTTAAATCAAAATGAATAATGAAAGAACAGGCACTTAGCCAAGAAATACATAGATATTCATTTGCTCATTTTTCTCTCTGAATGCGTTCTTACGTTACTCAAAAGAGACATGGCGTCGGTTAAATTTAGCTGTCTTCAGACATTGTGACTAAAATAAGCCTGTATTCAATTTTTTTTGTAATTACAAAGAATTAATGAGAAGAGGCCAATTGCTGTTGAAGTATTTGTGTAATAATCTTTCGAAATCCGGCAAATGTGTAAGCTGCTTTGTTTTTATGGTAATAACAAAATGAATAACAAAGAAAAAGCTCCAAATTTACTTACTCGATTTGCCGTTCTAAAAAATCGACTCCTATAGTCTTTTTGTAGTCTTTGGTGAAAGTACCCTTACAGTATCGTTGAATCATGCTGGACTTTCCTACTCCGCCATTGCCCACGATTACCACCTGCAATTAGGAAGAAATTTGAAAATATTCTAATTCAATTAATAGTAATAAATCGGTAAGAAAATTAATAGCTTGAATTACTTCTCGTGAAATGACGATTATGTACTCAACGCAAATAAAGGGGAAAGCAAAATTAAGCAAGTACATAAGAGGAGAAAGATGAGCAAAAGTGTGAGGGGAAAATATGCAGAAATATAAATGTTATACATTATGTTTACTAGTTATGAAATAATTGAGTATTTATGCTCGTTTTCGAGTTATCAAGTTGTCAACTGTAGGAATTTGGCCCTAACGTTTTGCTCGCACAAACCGCTAACATCTTCAGATGCAGCAATCGCAAACGAAAAAATAAGAAAAACATAGCATAACTAAAATATCCGAAATATTACTGTAGAATATATCTGTAGAAGAACAAAAGTCGAGGTGCAATTACATAAAATCAATTTGCTTATTCATTTTTGTTATAAATTTTTCGAAAAGGTTAAAAAAAATAAAAGGCAAAGTGAACATTTTTAAACTTATATCTTTCAAGTTACAAGTCAGTTTGAAAATGAATGTTTCATGTAATCAGTTTTTCGCGATTTTCTTCAAATTTGGCCGGACAAACAAGTCGGACGTCTATTTAGTGATCCCGTCAGATTATTAAATCATATCCAGGGTACTTAAGAAGTGTAATTATTGAACATAGTTCACGTTTTATTGTGGAATAATTTCATCTGAAGATGCAATTTAGCTTTTTGCATCATTAATTTGAAATGTCTTTTTTGGTGAATGAATGAGTCGAATGTTGCAGTTCACTATAAATTTATTTAATATACACGACGTGTTTCAGTTATTTATAATATATAACCATCATCAGGTAACAAGACCTAAAACTGCGTCAACAGAATTACAGGTGGAAAAAGCCGGATATCAGTTACATTACAAGGGTTAAAACACACCTAGATTACGTTCAGCTGAAGAGTATCAGTTAGTGGACTTGAAGCGACTCATTCATCTCCCAATATGTTACCAAGCTACTACCTCGGATTCAAACACAATTTAAATTAAGTGTTTTTGTTTCAGCTCGTCAAATTCAACACCAAGAGGTGCCATGCTGGAAATTATTGCTATACATTGTTAAAAGGAGAACGTCATGTTTAGCCCAATAAGGTAAGTAAAAAGCATGACTGAAAAATTATAAAAACTTAAGCAAATATAATAAGAATTGCTATTAATAATTATTCATTTTGAATCATGCTTCGGAAGTTTGCGAATTTCTAGAAAACTAATTTGCTTCGAAAAACATTTAAACATCATCTTTATATGAAAATGGAAGGAATCTGAACGCTTTATCAGCTAATATGGTTACTCATGATATAGATTTAAGTTTTCACATCTTTAAGTGAAATGCGAAAGAGTGAATTTGAATCAAAATCAGCGCCCTGTTTAAAATTGAGTATCGAAAAGCTACATTTGATTGGTGACACCGATCATACTTTAAACACCCTGTATGCTAATTCTGAAATGTGTTTTTGCATCTCAAACAGTAAAGTCCTTGTTGAAAAACTGAATACTTCAATAAGCACTTTGCATATAATTAATATTAACAGGAAATAATTATTTAAAAAATCAGTAAGGGGATAAAATTTTAACTTTTTTTAGAAATTTCACCAAAACATCAACTTTTTCTTCTTCTAACTGCACCAATTCATATTTTTCAAGATCATTTTCTAACTCGGACGTTTTTTTCTCACGGAACTCATTTTCTAACGCAATTGCAAAATTTGTAAAGTGAGTAAGATCTTTAGTGGGCGGTTTCTAATTAGTTGTTTTATATCGATCGAGATATTTAAATAAAATTGTTTAATACATTTTGAAATGGGATATACGTTATTAACGTACCTTAAGGGCGACCTCTAGCTCCTCCTCACGCATCTCAGACTCGGTGCCCAAAGAGGGCACCCGAGCTCATGGCCCTTCCCCTAGCAGTACCCGCGTACTGCCCATCTGGACCCTAAAACAATAAAAAGCAATTAAGCGAATGACGCAATACGATTATTTTTAGATTATTTAAATATCATGCAAAACAGCTACACATAATGGGCAATAAAATTAACATAAACATTTTGGAAAAGAAGACATTCTAATAAACATCTTCAATTAATAAGAGTCCTCAGAGGCGGATGACTTGTGTGATTTTGCTCATGCAAAACACGCAATATTTGATGAACATACACAATTATCGATTATTTCAATGTAAACAATTCTATGCAAATTTCTATTGGCAAGATTCGTAATCACAATATGGTAATAGCAGAAGACCGAAAGAGCACTTTGGAGATGTGCGAAGGTGGGTTTCAATTGTCTCAATTTTCGATTTATACCAGTCATTCTTTGTCGAATTTTTATATTTGATGTTTTATATGTCTTCAGGGTACACATTAGGTTAATGTCCGCAGGAAGGACAAGGTTAAGATGGATTGTTTTTGAAATTCTGGTATAATCAATGTGCATGGATATGATTTGTATAAATGTATTTTAGCATATGAGTTTCCATTCGCTAGGGCATTGGAAGTCATTTAAAATAGTACCCACTTGAATAACCTTCAATAAACCACTCCTTAGAAAATCTACACAGAGTGAATTTAACAAGCAAGTTTGGTTGATCAAAAAGGAAATAAAAAAAAGAACGTTGTTATGTGGAGAAATAAAATTGAAGCTGTTCGTCTGTTCTTCATCTGAGTTTCTCAGGCTAAAAGTCTAGGATTTCTTTATAATTCCTTTGGCAAAATGTTAAAACCTCCATAGAATTACAACCAGTACCGGTGCTTACGCTTGCAAGTTTTCATTGTATTGGCATAATCTTGCATGGCATAAATTTGCCGGTTCATTTAAATTGCCGTTTTTAAATCGGCAAATTTATAATCGCTTGGAATTGAAAGAAACAGGAATTGATGATAGCAACAGCATACGATAAATTATAATCAGCATTTGGATCTTTTTTCAATATTTGGAAAAGCGATAGAATAAAGTTTTATTGTTCGCTTTTGGACGATAAAAATAATGTGAGCCTTTTAGATGGATTGAATTCCCAAGATTGAATATGAACAGACCAGTATAAATCGTCATCTAAACTGCCCAACAGAATGAACGTTACACAGCCAAATTTACCTTAAGTTTGGAACTGGATAAATTCTGATTGCTTAATACAATTTGGTTTCTATTCGATACGTTATTGAGTCCCGTTTTATTTAGGTTAGTCAATGTTTTTGAAAAAATTAAGTAACTCAGATAAATTTTCTACTGAGTGCGAGAGAGATGAATTTTCAAAAAAATAATTCCTTTTTGGTTCCGACCCCAAAAATTAAAATAAATTATGTAAGTTTTCCTGGCTGTATTTCCAATTTCAATATAAAGTATTTTCCTGAGTTTCAGTCGTTTATTTCAATATCATAATTTATTCATTCATTAAAATATGTTTCGGTGTTTTTTCACCATCCTCAGTTCGTGTAGGCAGTTCTCAGTGCCCAGAAAAATAATTTTAAAATTAAAATTTAAAAATAAACTTAGTAGCTTCAAAGGGTGTTTTCACTTTTCGACAATATCTTTTGTTTTTACAGGGTGGTCTGAAAAAATCAACTTTTTGATCTTGGCAGCGAGAAGTTTTTGATCTTGGCCCGATTTCAACCTCATGTTGAAGCTAAAACTTCATAGACAATCTGAGATGAAAATTCGATATACAGCGTTGCATGAAAAATGACTCAATTCAGAATTGCTCCCCAAATCTGTGATTCTGGCAGACTTTCAACTAAAGTGAATTTTATCAGTCAATATTTTGCTAATTCAAGCAACCCTGTATATTACATTTTCCTCTCAAGTTCACTGCGAAGTTTTAACGTCAACACGAGTATTATATTTTGCTAATCAGTTCAACAGAAAAAATTGTCACTGCAAACCGGAAAAGTCGATTTTTTGCGACCACTCTGTAAATAAACAAGATGTGCGAAAAATTCAAAAACGTTTTGAGATATAAAGCCTATCTTGATGCCTGTGGTGTTGAAATACAAAATACATGTGTTTTGGTGCAACTAAGAACCATTTGCCACCCTGTAGCAACTTTAACTGAAGCAGTATTTTTTGCAAAATCGCTCACTAACGGAAAAAGAATAGCACTAAATAATGATTCAAACAGAAATGAAATCGCTCACAGCAATCAGAATTTATCCAGTTTCAAAGCTGGTTCAAACATTTTTAGAGTAACGCTGACTTTGTTGAGCAGTGATGTGTAGTAGCTGCTACCATTTTTTTTATATACAAATATTGTTTGCTCCTTAAACATAACCAACGTTGTTGAACTGTAAATTAAGTTAATAAAAATCAGCTTGGAAATATTGAATATTGAACAAAGTTCCAAACTCATAAGAAACACACAAACAAATTAGGTGTATGTGGTGCTTTCAGTTAAAGTTCAAATGGCTTCTATTAAAATATTGCAACTACTGTTATTAAATTGTTGTACAGTTTAACCATTACGATCTACGTGTTTCATAAAGTATTATTTTTAGACAGCTGAACTGGAAACATTTATGATTGCTTACTTCATATTTATAACTTTGACACTATTTACAAAATAATAATTTCATTGTTGATCTTATTGCAACATTTTCTTGATTTCTATCGTCGGAAGTCAGTTTCGGTTGGCTCGAAGCCTAAAAAAATGTCAGTTGCACTCGGGTGAGTTTTATGAAATTAGAACAATCAATCACTTACCCAAAACGATTTGGTGCGTTACAATTCAAGCACTTAGTGGATTCGTTTAAAATAATGGAAATATATTCTCACATACAAATGTTCATAAAGCTAAATCTTGACTGTACCATGCCTATGAACGCATACTGTGCTATTCTAGGCAATTTGCCTGAGCCCAACCACTCTCCATCATCTTCGGATTGTTCTAAGATTGATTTATCTATTTTGGTTAAACTTTAAAAAATTGCCAACGCAGTTGAGAATGGTAATAAATTATTTTACTGTAATGGAATGTACTGTAAGCATATTTGTTTGACACTTCATTTTCATTATACATATTCTCATTTTATGAGGGTAATTATCTTGAAGACGCGCCTGTATATGGTCATTAATTACACAAATAGTTATTTGTAAAACAATGCCTTTACCGAAATATTGGTTTTCCGCTGAGAAAATAATACGTTGTAGAATTTAATTTGTTTTTAATAAACAATGAACGGAAAAAAATAAGACTGCTTGGCTCATCCACTCTTCTCTAAAGTCATTGTAAATCACTGATGTAAATCAGAACCATACATAAATAATTTTTTCAATTGCATTTGCAAAAAATACATGGAAATTAACTATCAAAGCATCCTGCAGATTAGCGCCCATTTTCCCACGTTAATCGGCCTCTAACCGAAGTTCTAGGTCGCATAAGAAATATTTCCGATATTCTTAATTAATACAAATGCCCACCCACGTTTTTAGATTCGGGAATAAAAATAACCATGCAGGATTATTAACGTTTTTCATGTTTATTATTAGGTCTAGGTCAAGACTATTTTAAATATACGTAATATTTGTAGCTATATAAATTGCGATGTGATGATAATCTTAATTTTTTTTCATACAAGGAGGAGTTTTATTTTCCGCGCTATTTTAAACATAAATGAATAATTTTGCTATTGGAAATACGAGTAGATTCATAAAGTGAGCAAATGAAAGCGGCAAATATGTGCGATGTTTAAAGTATGATATATTAAGCGTCATGTTTCGATGTAATCACCTTTTGCTTTTTCGTGGCAAATAGAGCTTTGTTGTGCTCAAGATTTGTCAATTTATTGCCGTTATTGAAAGTTCAGAATATTTAATAAATTGCAATTCTGAGAGCTAATTTTTTTCGGTTGAGCATACAGAAAACTCCCATTTAATATCAAAAAGACGATGCCATTCATTCCTTATTTACAACCCGTTATTTAGGCTCAGATTTAAGTTGCCACACGGGCGATCCAGGAGGGGTTATGGGGGTCAGGACACCCCTTGTGCTGGATTTATGCCGACTAACGATAATTTTTCTAACTTCATAGACAACATAAGAATAAAGAATGTCTACTACATGACCCCCCTGGCTTGAAAGCGGGATCCGCCACTGCCCAATG